ACTCATACTCTGCTGATTTATGCGGTTTAACAATTGGAACGGTATTATTCATAATATAAATTATTTAGAAATTAATTTCCAATATTTATTGTAAATGGCATATCTTATTTTGCTTGAAATGGGGTCGCGTAGGCTCCTTGAAAAGGGGTCGGAGCCTTGCGAGGCTTCGCATCGCGAAATTTGGGACAGACTGCCATATTGCCCCTCATAAGAAGGTTAATTAAAAATAAAAAATCCACCCCTTTGGCTCTTGCTTCTTTTTCACTCCCGACACGGTCTCTTTTTGCTATGACAACAAGCAGTAGAAGATGTTGAAGCCTTTTTGCTTGAGAATTTGTTTGATGCTATGTTTCAATCAGCACAGTTCATTTTCTTTGACATTTACCTACCGCCCCTTATGGATTTTTGTTTGCGCCTAAAAATCCATATATAATTAGATAGTAATAATTTTAACATCTAATTATATAGGATGAGTAATTATGATAGTTATATTAATACAATAGATGTGATTGAAGATAGTGTCATTGATGATACTAAATTTCCAGTTGTAAAAGATACTAAACTTAAACAAATATTCAGGGTAATGTTGGAATTTCTGAAGGTAATTATAAATTATCTTAAATATTATATAGATGCCTCCCAAAAAAGCAAAGCCAAAGACGAGTAGTAAAATCAAAAAGCAACCAATACCTGAAGATTTTGAACTGTCAGATGAAGAACCCACAACAATAAATCTGGATGAGGAGCAAAAACTATCAAGCAAATTTATCACCTTTGATTGCCCACTGTGTCATTGTAAATTACAAATGAGAAATGAAATTTCAATTGACCCTAAAGGGATAAAATGTTCTTGTAACCCTTGTAGTTTTAAACTCAGTAGAAATGATAAAACAATGAATGTCAGCAGGGATGACAACGGGGAGATAGTTTTAGAAAGTGAAGACCACAGCATTAGTTTTTCGTGGAACAGGCAAGTCACCCCAGAAGACAAAAAAACTGAGAGCACTAACAAGATGATAAGTGATGTAATGGGAACGCCCAGAAGTAAAAAGCAAATGGCAATAAATGATATGGATTGAAACATATTTAAAGAGTGATTTTTGCGCAGTTCAACTGCTAAATAAATAAATAAATATATAAATAATTATATATAGAAATGTCTGATTTAGATGATAAACAACCTGAAATGGCAGAGATGCTGAACAAGATGACAAGATACAACAAGAATGTGAAGGTGTTGATGGAGCTAATGAACAAGGCAGTAGAAAAACTTGATATATTAGTAAAAAATAAACCTGCTGAAAATAATGATGCTGATGCTGAGAAAGAAAGGATGGATAAAATCTTTGAGGCTAAAAAAATCGGCAGACCTGTCGGCACTTTTGAAACCAAGCAACAGCAGTATCTGAAAATGCTGAACGAAGGCAAGATAAAAATGCCAAAGTCTCAAACACTTGAGTTTTATAAAATTGAAAAAGACGGTGAAGTCTTCAAAGTGATGGGTGAATAGATGAAATTTTGATAATATTATTATCTATAACAATATTATGAAATTACTTGAATTATTCAGTGGAACCGGCAGTGTGGGGACTGTTTGTAAAGATATGGGCTGGACTGTTGTGTCATTAGATTTGAAAGGGGCTGATATAAACTGCGACATACTACAATGGAAATACAAAAAATATCCAGTGAAATACTTTGATATGATATGGTCTTCACCCCCTTGTATTGAGTATAGCATTGCTAAACAAACTGGGGTGAGGAAAATTGAGGAAGCAAATAAAATAGTAATGAAAACTCTTGAGATAATCAAATACTTCAAGCCGAGGGTATGGTTCATAGAAAACCCACAAACAGGGCTTTTGAAGAAGCAACCATTTATGGAGGGTTTGCCATACTTTGACATTGACTACTGTAAATACGGTATGCCATACAGAAAAAGAACAAGGTTATGGACTAATCTGGACACTTGGACACCCAGACCCTTATGTAAAAAAGATTGTGGAAGTATGGATGGGAATAGGCATAAAGAAACAGCGCAGAGGTTGCCATCAAAAACCAAAGCAGAATGGGGACACAGTCCAATATTCCATTCACAACAGGATTTGTATAGGATACCTCAAGCATTGGTTGAAGAAATTATGACTGCTGTAAATGTTGTATGCTTTAGGTAATTTAGATAGAAACAGATTTAAAGAAAAGATACTTTATGATAATAATGGATAGTAATAGATATAGGAATGGGAAGGTCTATAAAATAGTGGATGCGGGTTATAGTATGTGCTACATTGGAAGCACCTGTGAAGAACTGTGCCAAAGAATGGCAAGACACAGGAAAGAATACAATAACTATTTGAAAGGGGGCAAGTATTATATCACTTCGTTTAAGATATTTGAGAAGTATGGACTTGACAATTGTAAAATAGAACTGCTGGAAAAATGCCCTTGTGATGACAAAGAAGAACTGAAAAAAAGAGAAGGGTATTATCAACAAACTATGGAGTGTGTAAATAAACAGACTGCTGGGCAGACCAAAGAAGAATACAGAAACAAAAACCGTGAGAACATTATTGCCAAAAAAAGGGAGGACTACCACAAAAATAAAATGTCATCAATGAAAAAGCAAGACAAAAATACACCTGTGAATGTGGAGCGGTTGTGTGTGTTGGTGGTAAATTAGAACACGAAAAGATGAAAAGACACCAGAGGTTTTTAGGGAATATATCAATAGAAGATGAAGAGAAAGAAAAAACTAAGAAAAAGGAAGAAGCATACAGGCGGAGATTGGAAAAACAGAAAGAAAAATATACTTGTGAATGTGGTTCAGTATTAAGAAAAGGAGACAAAGCAACGCACAAAAAATGTAGAAAATATCAAGGCTACCTGAACCAACAAATGACAAACAAAGAAGAATAGAAAATGCTGAAAATGGAGACCTTGTTGAAATTCACCATTTATTTTATGATGAAAACTAATAACTGAATTTATCAAAATAATTGACCTATATTTTGATAAATTAGGTGTTTTATGTGTTTTTTGATGTGTCTATACACCATTTTTTGTGTATGCCTTTTAGCATTTTTGGCAATGCCTATGGTTGTGGTCAAATGGTGGCAAATCCATTTTGGCAAGACGGTTTGCCAAAATGGCAATGAGTGTCCCCCTCAAAATCTATTCATATTTAGTGGGTGGCAAATGGACTTGCCAGAATGGCAAATGGACTTGCCAGAATGGCAAATGGTAAAATGGACTTGCTGAAATGGCAAATGGACTTGCTGAAATGGCAAATGGACTTGCCAAAATGGCAAACATTGGATTTGAGTTTTAGGCTGGAAAAAAAAAAACATCACAGTAATTTTTATGTATTGGCTTTACCATTGCTGGGGTCTGGCTTTATAGATAAATTATTTCATAATTTATCTTAAAGTTCCATCTCATAGGTATTAGCGATACAATGTAAAGTGGCATCACTCTTTGAGTAAAAGAATACAACCAGTGAAAATGATTAAAACAGTGGCATTTACATACTTATGTAAAATATATGGCGTTTCAGTGTAAAATATTTACATTGTTTATGTACAATGTCTGACAATGTCCTGTAAAATGAAATGATTTTACACACTTCCGTAAAATGGATTTTCACTGGTGAGGTTCTTGGGTAATAAAATGAATTTTCACAGGTCAGGATATTCCCATTATCTGGGCTGGGTATTCCCATTTCCTGGGCTGGTTTTTGTCAAAATCTGGGCTGGTTTTTGTCAAAATCTGGGCTGGATATTCCCAGTATCTGGGCTGGATATTCCCAGTATCTGGGCTATATTCCCGTTATCTGGATTTTAAATCCCAACCAATGGATTTTAAATCCCAACCAATGGGTTTTAAATCCCAACCAATTGGTTTTAAATCCCAACCAATGGGTTTTCAAATGGAAATCCCAACCGATGAGGTTTAAATCCCAACCAATGGGTTTCAAATCCCAATCAGTGGGTTTTAGGTTCCTATGGCTGGGTTTTAGGTTCCTGTGAATGGGTTTAGGTTCCTGTGAATGGGTTTTAGGTTCCTGTGAATGGGTTTTAGGTTCCTGTGAATGGATTTTAGGTTCCTGTGGGGTTTAAGGTTTCTTTCAATCATTTTTATGTATTGGCTTTACCATTGCTGGGGTCTGGGGTTTATGGATAAACTCATTAAGTTTATCCTAAACCCCCATCTCATAGGTATTAGCAATACAATGGGCTTTTTGAATGAGGGTAATTACTTATTTTTCTGTTATGATTTATGGTATAGATTGTTTTACTGTCTATTGTATTGTATTAGGTTGTTTTGGTTTTGTTTTGTTTTGTTTTTTTGTTATGGTTTATGATAATGGTTTTATAATAATATAGGGAAAAAGGATTTAAAGGGAAAGTATCTATATATATTAGGTGAATTATGGAGGATACAAAAAAATGTTCCAAATGTAGAAAGCCCTTTGGAGAATATAAACAGTGTCAGACTTGTTTAGAGTATTGCAGGTTCTATTCAAAAAATAATCCTGAAAAAAGAAAATGCTGAAAAAACAAAAGAGGATAAACAGGTAAAAGTATATTGTGATGACTGTAAAGTTGAAATTCAAAAAGGCAGTTGGTCAAAGCATATTCGTTCAAGGGAACACCTTTCAAATATTGGTAAAGATGACAAAGAGGAATTTGAAAAGATAAAATGGATGAAGTGCCCTGTATGTGATGATTATGATATTCAACTTAAAAATTACAAGAGGCATACAACAACAATGAAACATCAGGAGAATTTTAAGAAGAAGGAAAATTAGATTTTATCTTATGAAACATATTTATAAGATGAAAATTGTTTTGGCTGTTATGTTTTTTTGAGGGTGTAGGCTGGTGGAATTTATGTTATATTAATCTGGGCGGGTCAGGGAAAAAGACGGGGGAGCACAATGCTAACTTATATATATAGTATAATATATATATATAACCTTGTTTGTTATTGGACCACCCAGCCTTCATGCATTCGGTACACCGCTTTGTCAGGCTCTGCTTTGGGAAGTACTTTGGTTCCCACCCACTCATGGACTCGGGGATGATTCGCCACAGCTTCCATGGCCAGGTCAAACAAGGTCTCGGGACCGTGATCGTTCTTGGGATCGTGTACCCAATCCCAATCCTTTTCTCCGGGTCGTCCGATGTAGTGCAGATTTCCGGCACGAATCTGTCGCATGGCATTCAGTTCAAAATGGAGCCTTCAGTTTAACAGAGGCAAAACCGCCCAGGCGTCTTGACTCTTCTGGTTCTTAACATCCCAAGAAAAATAAGAAAGCAGAAAAAAACAAAATCTTCTGGTTCATTGCCAAGAACCAGTTGAACAGATCCATCTTTCGCTTCTTCAGATCAGTGGGCGCATATCTGAAAAGCCTATTTGCATCTTCCGTGTCCAAGCACAGAACCACAAAGCGACGAATGGATCGAAGGCAGCTCCAAGTGGAGAAGAGGAAACTGTAGAAATAAAAACCATGCATGGCACTGCCAACCGACATGCCTGGTGCGATGTTTTTTCCAGATCAAACACTCGGATTTGGGTATGGCTTCATCATCAAATGGGTATGGATATGTATGGATCAATACCTATTAATGCCATTTTTAGGGGGATGAACATCCATTTACCAGCTATTTTGATGTGAACTACAGGGGTACAAGGTTTTGACACACTGCCAAATGGCAGACTTTGGTTTGAAGAAAACCTTGCGTGTTGTTCTCCGGGTGCTCAACTGCGGTCTGACAGAAACACTTGACAGCTGTTGTTCTATCCCTGAATAGATAAGTCGAAAGTCAGTGAGACAAAGAAATTGCGAGTCAATCCGCACATCACTCTCACTCTTGCTTGTGCCAGCTGCTTGTCAATCATTTACTGTAGATCTTGCATCTGTGCCATCAATCGCAGGTGGGAAAAACAGTGCCCAAACAGATTACTGCTGGACACTCATGTTTGATAGGAATTCGGTCCCATTGTGTCATCTTTGTGCCTACCTTTTCTCCCAAAACAACCGGCCAAGCGCCTATCAAAGTGATGACTCCGGCATCCAGCCACGGATCGGCTTTGGATCGTGCTTTGCCACTGGTTCCTTGACGGCTTGAAGTGCGTGACTTCTCGTCCTGCCGAAGGTGTGCAACGGAGGTAGGCTCCAGTGTGCCACGTATTGTTTTCACTGAAATCAATCGTACCCTCTGACCCTCTGGTTTCTCCTAACATAGCTATGGAAATTCATAATTGTTATATAAACTTTAATAGCATTTAATAGCTATGTTAGTTGGTGGATTTGGACAGGTCCAAGACCGGAGTCCAAAGAGTCCAATGTCAGCAACCGTGGTGCTTCCATGATTCCACGAATCGTTACCCTCTGGTAAACGTTTACATAACTATGGAAAATCACCATTTTTAATGGGAAAACTCACTATAAATGTAATTTAACAGTTTGCTATTGAAAATGGCCATAGAAATAGTGGATTTACCCATTGAAACTGGTGATTTTCCATCGTTTTTTGTAGGTTTACCAGAGGGTAGTACCTCCAACAGCATGTCGTTTGCACCGCTGACTACACATGTTCAACACATATTTCACATCTGAAATAGTCATGTGGTTTTGTCCCACTGAAAAAAAACCAACTCCAGCGTTTTATCGCCATATTCCCCAGGAATATGGTTGCGAATTGGGGTTCCACATTCTCAAACACACCTGCTATTTGATGGTCAATATCCCCGTGTATTAAATATTATCATTGTTTTTTGCTTGATAACCAGATTATTATGTGCAAATGATTTCTGTTTTTCAGGATAAACCCCCATTGATCCACATTTTTGTTTTTCAAGTGCCGGTGTGCCAACAACATCCAACGATGTTCCCATTGTATTCCCATTCTATATTGTCAATCCCCCCCGTTCTTGTTGGAACATGTCCATATGGAGGTTTCCTGAAATAGTGGGTGTCCCATGGTGTCCCTAAATCATCCATGTTTATAGGATTTTCATGGATTTTCCATGACATAAACCATCCAGCTATGGGGTAACCCCCTTACTATGGAAAGCCCAACCTATTCACCTGATTCAACCGGCGCACCTGTCTCCAGGCACCAAAGCCCAAGGCCTTTTGAAGCTTCAGCAGCAGCCGGGCGCCCGAGCTGCGTTGCCAGCTGGCCACGCAGTGTTCTGTGACGCCTTGAGGGACCATAAATGGCATCAGATTTGGGGTTGGGTTCTAATATAAATTTCTAAATGAGTTCCATAAATGGTTGATATTATAAATGGAATCTAATAAATAGGAATAATCAGAACCCATGGTTTATGAATCTGGGTTGACATTACAACAGAATGTGCATTGCCCATCTGCCTGCAAATATGCTGATTGCATGAATGCACAGCGCGCATTAGATAAGTTGTCTTTTGTAGCCAGCGGCTTTCATCCATTTGTTTTCGATATATCATCAATGGTTCACCATTATTACCCTCTGGTAAACTAACATAACTATGGAAAATCACCATGTTCAACGGGTAAATCCACTATTTCTATGGCCATGTTCAATAGCTATGTTGAATTATCAGAGGGTAATCATGATTTAATCTCCTTCATGGTCTGAATCCGTGGCGCTACACCATATTTTCAGCGCTTCTGTATCACTGATCGACACAAAAGTGACGAAAAATCCAGGTTCCCAAGTGAAGGCGGAAAAACCATGAGCCGCCAATCACTGAGGTCAAAACAATCATTGAATCATAGAGCAAAAAAAAAACATGTACATGGATGTTATATATATATATATGTGAATATGTTGGTCCAAAAAAACTCCAAAAAATCGCACAAACAGGTTTCATAGGATATTTCGCTGGTTCATACAACTTAAGCCGCTGCCTCGGCATTGGATCTCCTTGACCCGAGCCATCAGCGCATCCATGGTCCTGCCGGGACCACGGATGGGCCAAGGGGATAAACCTTCCCATGTTTAGTTCACTGTTTGGGGTAATGCACCCAGTTTTTTAGTCAATCATCACTTAACCATCCCCGATTTGGGTCTTGGGGGTGCCCAATTTTGATCATACTCAATTCGCTGACTACATCTATGACTGCTGGATATACACATAATATGCAAGAAGAAAGCGTGTACCTTACTCGGTCTCAAGACGTTGAGGTTTTGTCCCATCCTCAGCAGTTAGCTGCATGGATTTTTAGAGGTTTCCTAAGTCATAGGGGCCCCACCAAATCATCCATCTGAATCAGATGTTCCATGAAATCAACCATCCAGCTATTCGGGTGTACCCCCATGACTATGGAAATTAATGCCAAAATGCTTGGTTTATGACGGAAAATCCATCTATAAATGGATGATTGGGTGTACCCATTTATGGAAACCTTCACGACCTAACTCTTTCGAGCCTGTAGAAGGCAGCATTGAACCGGTCGTCGAAGCGTCGGTTGGCCAGTAGCATCTGGTCCCAGCAGCGTTCGACCAGTTCACCTGGCCATGGGACCCATGCGTCACGGGTGCTGAAAGGGAAAATCTGTATATGAAACCACCTCGTGGCTGCTTGCCATCCAAAAAGGTTGGTTTTCCTGTAGTGCACTCATATGTTATATATATATACATGTACATACTATGCGTATACATAGCCATATGCATATGTACATACACATACATACATAGGCATATGCATATGCATACACATACACACAACTACACCTACACCTACACCTACACATACACATACACATACACATACATATATCATATAACATATACCATGTATCAGATATCAGATATCAGACATCATATACATATACATAATAAATAACAATAGTAGTAATATGAAAATTAATATATACATCATGGTACCAATAATAATAATAATATATGGTAATAATGATGATGTATATGTATACAGTACATAATTCTACATATGGCGGTTGTTCTAAATTCCTTCATCTGCAAAAGGCTAATCTTGGCAAGACATAAAAAAAGAACTCAGGCGCTATCCCCAACAGCTTGAAAGCTTCTGCGTTTTTGCCATAAAAAGTGCTTATGCCAGAAAAATTAAGCGCTTATGCCATAAAAATTAAGCGCTTATGCCATAAAAATTAAGTGCTTATGCCATAAAAAAACATCGGAACCCTTTGGAATTTCACAAAGCATCTGCACCAGAACCCTCCGGAACCTAACAAGGTATCTGCACCGGAACTGTCCGGAACCTCACCAAGCATCTTCTCCGCCAAAACCCTCCGGAACCTCACAAGGTCTCTGCACCGGAACCTTCCGGAACCTCACAAGGTATCTGCCCCGGACCACGCATCGACCCTCCGGAACCTCATCAGGTAGCTGCACCGGAAACTTCTCTAAGCTCACCAGGTACCTGCACCAAAACCCTCTAGAACCTAACCAAGTATCTGCACCGTAGTAACCCTCCGGAACCGCACAGAACCCTCCGGAGCCTCGCAGGTATCTTCAACGGAACCCTCCGGAACCTTGTGCGGAACCTGGTGTTGAAGCTGCACCGGATCGCACCGGAGCTAATCTGGGCTAAAGACCCCATAGCAAAGTTTTGCTGCTGGGGAAAAATAATTAAAAACATAATTAAAAACATAATATACAATAACTTCTGCGAATCTTTCGCAAACCCCACGTCTATCTTTCGCGGGGTCTCATGTAAAGTTCCTTCGCTAAATCTTTCGCCAAACAAAAAAGACGTTCGCGGACTCAGAAAAACTTTTGCGGGGTCTCATGTTGGAACCCTGGCGGTCTTGGCAATTAAGCACCTACGGACCTTTCGAACGACTCCAATATATCATTACTGAACCATACTGAACCAATACTAATATTGTACATATCTAGGTAGTAATAATTCATACAGCCTATTCCCTCCCAATAGAACAGCGTGCAAGGCCACACCTGGGGGCAGCTTCTTCAAATCTTTGGCCACCTGAAATTGCTCTTTCAGCTTGGCCCTCCACAGCATTTGCCGTTCATGGCTCCAATCCTGCAGCTCCGCACCCATCAACTTGGCGCGTCGCAACAGCTTCCGAAGGCTCCGAAGGCGGGGCGGCAAGGAAGCCATCGATGTCCAGCTGGACAAGAGCTCCCAAGGCCAGCATGGATGTTGAACGGGTGAACTCTGTCGCTGTGTGGGTTGCAACTCCAAGGATCTCGGTGAGTTGAATTTGTTTGCTCGTTTGCAAACTTACTGAACGGAAAAAGTGGCAACTACTTCATTGCACAAAAAGTTGTTTGCTCAAAAAGCTGTCTTGTTTGCAGCTACTTCTCTGGGTTCTGCTTTGAAAAGGATCATGAACCCTTGTCAGTCGAGCCGCGGCCATCAAATTGACAGTTGTCTGTGAGGGACCAAAAATTCCTGCGTCTCAAAGTCTGCAGTCTGCAGATGTCTGCAGTACATTGGAATTGGAGTGGCAATTCAGGGACTTTTGAAAGGCTGAAGGAATGACTTATGACTATGATGACTATGGGATTACTATGGGCCTATAGGCTACAATTCACTTCTGATCGCGTAGCCAACGGACTGCTGCCACTTTGGCCGAAACGAAGCTGAACGGCATCCGACGCCACGCGACACGTGGGGGGTCTTTGTACAGGTGATCCCAACATTGGGGATACAACGAGGCCTTGAGGCCTACAATCGCATTGGAATTTGCCAGGAAACCACAAAAAAAAACTGTTCAAGCAAGGTTGCGTGGATTTGTGTGTGTGTTGGGATGCCTTGACTCCATAGCAACCTCTATTGATTCTCGTGCTCAGCGCATTAATTGGAATATTCCAACGTTTGGTGGTTGATTTGTTCAAACCGCGGTGTCACTGTTCTGGTGCCCGACATCTCAGTTGCGACTCAGTGCACCCTCGAGCAGTTGCAGATACTCACGACGATGCATGCACCTGAGACACAGCACATGACCTGGCTGGCTGAACTGTAAAGGATTCACTGACCTCAAGAGTGTTTGAGTATAGACATAGCCATATGGATGTAGATGTAGATATAGATATAGATATACAGTAGATATAGACATGCGTATGTGTGTATATACTTGTGACTTAGAAATCTGCATATAATACAGTTATATATATATGTATATGTAAGGTTTCGGTTCATGAGGAGCCAGTCTCGTTTGACTGCTGGCTTCCTCTAGCTTTGACCTCAGGGGCGTAGCTTTGGATGGTAAGCTGTCGCCTCGCCTTTAGGGTTGCCTTCATTGCCTGTGAGATCTGCGTTTTTGCTAGGGACGTTGGTGAAGTTCAGAGAACCTGGGTGGCACAGAAGGCTGCGGAAGCAGCGCCAATTGTGCAGGGGTTTCATCCGGAGATCAGCATCTGGGCTTCTGGGAAAGAGAACTCGCAAAAAACTGAGAAAGAATTTTTTTTGGCTGGCAAGTCATCATTCTTTTCAGATACACGAAGTTCCTGCCCGTATAAGACAGTCTCTGCAGATGACGTGGCACTGCAGGCAATGCAAGGTAAACAATGGAGAGAAACAAGAGTTTTGCAGGAGCTGCAGTGTGCATTGGTCGCAGACATGGCAAAGACCAAAGCGCCGATCGCGCAGCAAAAGTGCAAAAGCAACCTCTTACAGGAATCCGGAGCAGAACAAAGTCTCAGAGGAAGGTGTAAAAGATTGGAGTGTCTTTCCAGGAAATGCCCCATGGATACCTTCAACGCCTTCAGGAAGAGCTGTGAACAAGAAGACAGATCAGTCCGATGGAGCTGGTGCCAAGGAATCGATGGTGGATCAATCAGTGATTCAACCGGCCTCATCGCAAGCAGCAGCAGAAACTTTGTCTCCGGAAGAAGAGAAGATTTTAGAGCACCTCAAAGGATTGAAGAGTGCAGGAATAGATCTGACAGAACAAATGGAACAGCAACAACAGAAGCTGATTGCCAAGCAGCAAGCGGCAGCTGCATCAAAGGCACTCACACATGGGCATCTCAATCGCCTTACCAAGCTCAAGACACAGGTCACCACGGCAGCGGACAAGGTGACAAAGTTGGATCGAGAATGGAAGGCTTTTGTAGAGGCCACTACACAAAAAGTGCATCAACATGCAGAGCTGTTTCAGAAGTGCAGATCGGATCTTTTAGAGGCATACAACATGAAGTTGGCCGAGTTCCATGCATTGAAACAAGAGATGAGTTCGGCATCGATGTCAATGTTGGGGCCGGCGACTGCCGGTCAGATGATCCCAGAGGAACCCAATGTGGGGGAACAGCTGAGGGATCGAAGAGGTGATACTGGTCGAGGGATCAGTGGGCGAAGTGGATCTTACAGACGACATGGACGATGTGGAAGACATGGGACCCATGGGTTTTGGACCACAGAGCAAGGCCTCACCGAAGTTGCACAAGCAGTTTCGAGGAGCCACTTCCCCAACGAAAGTGGCACAGCAGCACCTCAAACCGAAGACTCAAGAAGTCAGGGATGCAAAGATGAAGGAAAAAGAACAGAATGCTTGACCCAGAAGGACAGTGGTGTTGAGCGAGTTGTTCAAAGTGACAGTATTGACGTGGAATCGATTCTTGCTGGGTGGTGGCAGGATTTTGATGGTCTATGTCGAGTGTCGCACACATGGCAACAACCTGATGAGCAAGGGCTTCGGGATGAATTGAAGGAGTTGAGCAAAGTTCCCGTTTGCCAACCTTCGAGACCAATCATTGATGGTCTTCCTTGTCTGGATGACCTTTTATTTTTCAAGAAACCTGAATTGTGGACTGTGCACAATTGCTATGAAATGGACAATGGCTGTGCAAAGTTTGATGATCGGGTTCATGGTGAGAACGGTAACCACAATCAACGTTCTTGCTTGTTTTCCATGATGGCGGTTGAGGAGTCCGCATTGCAGCCGTGCACTGTAGGAACTTTAGGTATGGAACAACGCAGGCAAGACGCAGAAAAACCTTGTGGCGAGTTTTTGTTTTTGACTGGCAATGGCAGGTTGAAGTCTCAGCGCACGGGTATGGACATGGAGGTTGAAAGCGCTTCATCCCATGCAGAAGCGCACACATGGATCAAACATGCCTATGTTCGTAGTGATCCTTGTCAAAAACATGTTTTGGGTCGCTTGGTGCAGCAATCCGGGAGCCTTTTTCGGGGTGGCAGAAAGGCTAACTTGGATCTTTCTGAACCCCAGGCCAGGGCCCAGATGTTCATGTCCTCAGATCAGGGCAAGTTTCCATCAGCACCTGAAGATGCTAGGGACAATGGTGTTGATCCTTGTATGGACAGCCGTTGCAGTTTGCAATCTCGATCGGATGGTGCAAGCGTTGATGTGGATTTTTCCTGTCATTTTCCAAGAACACATGATTCGGAGTTCGAGCCACAGCCTTTTGCTGTAGGAGCCTCTGTTAACATGATGTATGGGCAGGGCAATATCCATCAAGTACGACACGAGATAGATCTCCCCTTTGAGATGCTTGACGCCAATCAAAGTTTTCCTTATGGCAATGAGAAGTTTGCCGATTGCGGAATTTGGCAAGACTGTGCAGAGGAAGGTAGCAGGCGTCATCAGGGTGACGAAAGCCGTATTTCTCACACCACAGATAGGGTCGAGAATCAAACATGTGACAGCCATTTGCGAGTTTGCGGGGAGGGTAACTTGGATCTCCTTGAGGCTCAGGCTGAAGAACAAGAGGGTCCTTTGCAGAGTGGGGTCAAGGGTAACTTGGATCTTGGCTCACTTCAGGACCTACATGACCAACAGGACCAATCTCAATTCATTGAGTCGAATTGCAGCAGACATGTTTCTTTCAATGAGAAGGTCGACATTGTTTGCTACCAGCAAGAAGATGTCTATCCAGCTACCATTCGAATGGTAGATCAGGCACGTTGTTGTCGCTCACTTTGGCATATGCATGGGCAGATCACTGATATCAATGGCTTTTTGCAGGTGTTGGCAGGGTTTGATTTGGATGACTCGCATCCTACTTCTTTGGAAGTCCATGGCCAATCTAGCCAGGATGACGGGTCCGGGAACCTAGAGGGCCAGAATGTCGGTGACACCCATGATGAAAATCTTGACAATGAGCTGTACAAGGTGGTTGATGAAATTCAAGCAAGCAGGTTGCCAATCTTTGCTGACACTTGGTTTCTTGCCACGAATCGGTTTCAGGTTTGCGTGCGGCCAAGGGAGATGAGGTTGAAAAGCTCTTTTTTGGCCGACCCTGTGCAATTGGAAAGAGACTGTAGAGAAATGTGGCGAGAGCTGGACAATGGTGATCCAGTCACCTTACAAGTGTTAGGAGGGCTTCCTACACGTCGGTCAGCGATCAAATTGCACATTATCATCTTGCAAGATCCATCGCCCAGGATGGATACCACCATTTTCCATTCCGAGAGTTTGCCGCCCTTATTCAAATATAGGGCGGTTATGTTCCCAAGAGACATTAATGTCAAAACCTTTTTTGAAATGGCCCAAGTTGAGGGTGCTTGTCATGTGGGTGTGAAAGCCTGCTACACTCGATGTTGGGAGTCAGGTGAGGAGATTCTCAAGAGCAACCTTGAACAGGTTTGGGTACCATCAAACAGGTACATTGAGGGAGACATCAGAATTGTTGATGATGCCGTCCAGCTGGATAGTGAAGAGAGTGACCAGGGCAGTGAAGCCTCCACTTGGGCTGGGAGCCAAGCTGACAGTGTGGAATCCGACGAAAGTTTTCTCATGTCAGGCGGTCCTCCGCTTTTCCAGTTGGATGATTACATGCAACACATGTGGGAAACAGCAGGAATGGAAGACGTTGATATGCAGGATGAGGTCCAAGAACACATTGAGCAGGTGCAGTCCGAAATATTGTATGCACCGCAGCACCTGGGCCATCTATATGATGAGATTGATCGTCTTAGAGATCTGCAAAATGAAGATGGATCAGAGTGGACAGCGGCAACTTTTGGGCTTGGACTGGTGGATTTGGGACGCAGAGATGTGCGTTTCAACCCTTTCAATCTCAGGGGTTTGTTGGAAACAATCCTCAGGACTTGGAGTGATCACAGCCTATATGGCAATGTAGTGGTGTACAACGTCCACCCACAGCCAGTGGATTTCTTGGGTCCAAGAACTGTGGCTGTCTTGGTGGTTATAGAGATGCCAGATTCACGAGATGTCACCACACGCAATGTGCTGGTTGTGGAGCAAGCTGCGTCGGATGTTGGTGCCAGACCACAGCCATATGGAGCGCGTTTGACTTGCGAAGTTTCTGAGCGAGAAATCATGGCCCAATTGCAGCTGCACCAGCGCTGTCCACCTTTTGCATTGCGTCCTTGTCATGTGCGTTTAGGTGAAGTGATCCTTGAAAAGGGCCAATTCTATGACTTTGACCATGGTTCACTCTGCAGAACTTGGATTGGAAATGTGCATTCTCAGGTCCTTCAAGCTGAGCAAGCTGTGTATGATGCTGAACAATTCTTTTTGCAGGCACAGGCTTTCTTAGAGGCCGAGAACAGTCCTCAGATCATTATCTGCAGAGTCCATGGAATCACTCCGCAGAATCGCCCTTTGGGATCACGTGATATTCACATTGATCCAGTGTGGCTGTATGACTTGGAATGGATTGAAAGAATGAGAATGCTTTGGCCTTTCGATGCCAACTTTGCTGGTCTTTATTTTGTGAAGTCGGCAACAGGTGATCAACATGACACTGGACCAACAACTTTTCATTTCATTGCCAGATACGGCCATCATGAAGGACTACCGGTCCTCGTCAGACAGCAGCTTGTTGCGGTCGAACAAGTGCCACAAGAGCCACGTGATGTCCAGGAGTTCTGGGCAATATCCATTCCTTCAGGTGAGATAGGGTTTCATGTGGTGGCCAACATGCCAAACCCCCCATTCTGGTTTGAGTTTGCGAGGAATCAGAGGATATATCCACACCTGGCTGTTAATGGAGTGCGCATGAGGGATCTCAGGCAACACTGGATGCCGGGCGATTTCTTGCAAGCTCGTTTCCTTGTTTGGCAAAATCATCATGTGTTGTCCATGTTGGTTGGAATGGCGCAAGACCGCAGTGATGAAGAGCCTGAATTTACTTCGTTTTTGCAGTTCAGAGGAAAAAAGGTGCAGTCAGTGCACAATTGCAATGAACAGCTTGACGATGCTTTTCAGGAAATTTGCTGTGCCATCAGAGAGCAGGGCATTCAAGTCGTGCAAGAAGATGCAGAGGTTCATGTCGTGCATCAGAAAACCAGCGATGTGAAGGAGTCGCATGTTGATCATCAAGTGTCACAGGACACCAGTGATGATGATCACTTAAATGCTGGCGACACAATCGGCTGGTCCATAAACACGTTTCATGAGTGTCTCCAAAGAATTTGCGAAAGAGGTCAAGAAGGCATCAATTCAGACTTCTCTATGATACCTCATCTGCACCCACATGCTAAAATTGCGGCTGAATGGGTCTCGGAAGCCACCTCAGATGTTGATGTTTGGCATGTCTTCACAGATGGATCAGCTAAGAATGACAAAGCAACATGGGCTATGGTCATCTTACAAGAAATACATGTGCGTGACAGCATATGTTATGCCCGAGTGGGATATGCAGCGGATGAAGTGAACGACGAGATTGGCAAAGTGGACCGGACTGCCATGGATGCAGAAGCCACTGCCATTATTGCTATGATCGAGTACGCTCTTGCCAACTGCACCAGAGATAATGTGGCTGTCTATTGTCATTTCGATGCGTGGACAGTTGGGTTTGGAGCTATGGGTGATGGTGCCATCCCATGCAAACGAGACTCAGTGTCAGAAAGACAAAAAGCTGCCAGAATGCTGATGACGGTTTTGGAGAGACGTGCGGAAGCGAGGCAGGGATCTTGCACTGGAGTCCACGTTTGTGCTCACCAGGGCCATCCATGGAATGAAATGGTGGACAGTATTGCCAAAGAGGTTTGGAAGGGATGGAAACCATTGAAGAAGTTTCACTTCAAGTCAGGACCTCTCTTGCAGCACAGGTTGGCAAACTGGGCATGGATTGAAGCAGCTCCTTCCCTTGAGCTGCCTGGTCTGAGGCGCATCTTGCTGAACGAATTACCAGATGAAGACAAAGGAAAGCCAGATATGACTTTGCAGGGTGTGGCACGTCAACCCCTTCAATCCCTCTGCAGTGCCAAAATCAGGATTGCCACTGCCAATGTGGGCACCATGCTATATGGTTCAGAGCAGGGCCAGGGAGTGAGCAACAAAGCCATGGAACTTCTTAGGCAATTCGAAGAGAATGGCGTTCACATCATTGGCGTGCAAGAGTCAAGAGCCAATAGGACACAATGTGTAGAAAATGGACCATACACGCGTATGATTGTGGCTGGTGAGAAAGGAAATGCTGGAGTGGAGCTTTGGATCAATGGAAGGGCCTTAGCTCAAACTTTTCGGGCAGATTTCAATCCAAGCACTGATTTGTGTGTGTGGCATCAAAACAAAAGAATTCTTGCAGCCAGATGTAACTTTGGAAGAGCCATGTTCGACATCATGGTCCTTTATGCACCTCAAAGAGGGAGGCCACCACACGAAATTCAGGAGTGGTGGGACGAGCTGCACAAAATTGCGGCAACCAGGGACAGCAATGTCAATCTGATTTGCTTAGGTGATTTGAATTGCAAGGTAGGCAGTATTGTGACTGATGGAATTGGTGATCATGCCGGAGAAATTGAGGATGAAGGAGGGGAACGATTTAGAGAGTTCTGCGCAGAGCAAAAACTTGTTGTTCCCTCCACCTTTGCTCACTGGCACTCTGGTGTCACCTCTACCTTTGTCAGTCCACACAACACTCAAAGCCGCCTTGATTATATTGCCATTTCTGCAGCATGCCAAGAGGGTATTGTCGAGTCACACGTTGATGTTGACATGGACATGATGAATGGTGACCGCGATCATCATCCACTGGTGACGACCTTGGCCATCCAATGTGTCCAGGCTCATGAAGGGAAATTGAAAAAGTGCAACATTTATGACCGACAAGCTGCGAGAGCAATGAAAACAAAGCAGCAGGTTTCGTTGTTGGACAGCTTTCCCATGCAGCAATGGTCGGAGGATGTCAATTTGCACTGGTCAAATTTGCGGCACCATGTGCAAGAGCAAGCAGCCAAACATTTTCCATGTCCAAAGCGAAAGCAACGTCAGTTGTATTTTTCCGATGTCACATGGAACCTGCTGTGCGACAGAAAAGAGCATCGGAAGCAACACAGAGAGCTGCAAAGACAGATCAAGCGGCATTTGCTCCAGAGGGTTTTTCATGCATGGAAAACAAATGATGATCTGGAAGCGCAAAGATCACTCTGGGATCTGGATCTGAGCATGCTTAGACAGCAAGAAGCGGTGGTGCTTGAGGCGAGGATGACGTTGGATACCAAGTTCAGAGTGAACAAAAACAGAGACTGGAAAAAATGGGTTGACAAACTTCTGGAGGACAAGATCTCCAATGCGAACAGTGCTGGTAATGACAAGCTGTACAAGATTTTACAGCCGAAGAGGATGATTGCCAAGCATTGTGGAAAGTTGATCAAGCCGCTTCCAGGTCTCAGGAATCAAGAAGGAGAGTGGCAATTCTCCAGAGAAGCCATAGCTGCGGAATGGCAACATCAATTTGGACAGATAGAGCACGCCGAAATTGTGCAGTTTGAGACATTGATGGAAAGATCGCAGCCCAAAACAGGTACTCGAACTGTGCAGCATCTTGAGGAGATTCCGACCTTGCTAGATGTGGAGAAGGCGTTGAGGGATTTGAACGATGCAAAAGCCACAGGTCTTGACGGTCTGGGAGCTGAATTGTTTCAAACCGAATGTGCAAAAGCAGCAAAAAGAATTTATCCTCTGGTGTTGAAGATGGGATTGAGATGTCAAGGGATCCCTGAGCTCTCCGGTGGATCCCATGCAATGGGGAGGACGAGCAGGACTCTCAATAGAGGCTTTGCACCTGCAAGTCCAACTCTGGCAAGCGAACGCCACCATCAGAAAAGAATCACAGGGACTCATCTTCATCGACATCAGGGCAGCTTTTTACTCTGTGGTCAAACAAATGTTGACTGAGGAAGGAAGTAGCGAGCCTAGAACACGTGCAGTTTTTGAAAAGATGAAGCTCCCAGAATCAGTTTGGGAAAGTTTTGCCGCACATGTGGATGAATGCTCCCTGGTGGGACAAGCAACAGGGTCAACCATTTTGGCACAGGGCACCCAGGCGATGCTGGCACACAACTGGTTTGCCATACCTGGAGCATCCAGTATCTCATCGCCGATGACGGGGACAAGGCCGGGTGACCCTAATACAGACTTACTTTTCGGTCTGCTTCAGGCTAGAGTGTTAGCCATGTTGCATAGCAGAGCCTCCCTTGCTGGCATGCCACTTTTTCCAGATGGCAATAATGGGCTCAGAGTGCCAAATTGCGTCACGTGGGTGGATGACATTGCCATTTCTATTACTAGCTCAGCCAAGGATGTGGCGCAGACGATGCATATGTTGTCACTTGTACGTGATGTGATGCTGGAATATGGCTTGCAATTATCCTTTGGAGCAGGGAAAACAGCAGCCATGATCACTTTTCATGGCAAAGGAGCGCACAAGGCTCGGCAAAGGTTTGAGGGCAAGCAAGGTGATCATTTGACCATTCTTACCGAGCACCAAGGGGCTGTCCAGGTGCCCATTGTGACGCATTACAAACATCTGGGAGGTTTCATCACCAAATCAGGCAGCAAGTTCCAGGAGATCCGTATCAGAGCCGCTGCCACCATGGCGAAGTTGAAACCCTTGCGCAAACTCTTGAAGAGTCCTGTGTTAGCAATGGAAAAGAAACGCCTCATTTTGCAGAGCATGGGGGTTTCCGTGCTTACTTTGCATTCAGGGACCTGGTTCAATTTGACCCAGTCAGAGTTTGCGGCATGGCAAGCAGGAGTTTTTCGAACATACCAAATGATTCAACCCAGACATGAAGATGGTCAAGTGCCTCATACTCAGTTTTACAAGCTAGCTAGCGAGGCTGGTTTACCCATGCCAATGGAGCTGCTGTACATTCAGAGATTGAAGTTGCTTTTTCATGTCATGGGAGTGCAGGATCGGTTCATGATCAATGGCATCTTGGAAAATCATGAAGTGGACGTCCAATGCTCATGGTTGTATGGTGCTATGAAAAGCATCAAATGGATGCGTAGCCAGGTTGGCAACTTTGTGGTGCCGGAGGAACTGGATGAGCTGCAAGATGTGGCTACATGGAATCTGTTTGCACCGCATGCCAAGAAGTTGCAGCAGTACCTAAAGAAGGTTCAAAAGGCACATCTTTACAAAATCAGAGCATTGTGCGCTGTCAAAGACCATTCAATCAGACAGAATGAAATTTTGTCCGATATGGGCTGGACATTTGATGCACCCAATGTTGAATTGGGTGAAGAGGAGGCACATCGCTGCGAGCTATGTGATGATGTGTTTGATACTCCAGCAGCATTGGCTGTGCACCAGCAAAAACGTCATGGTCTGAGAATTGCAATGCGTAGGTTTGCAATTGACAGCTGCTGTCGTGCCTGTGGAAGATGGTACCACACGCGCTCCCGCCTGCTCCGACATTTGCATGTGGGCAATACGGAGTGCTGGGTTTGGCATTGCAGACGTTACATTCCAATGACTGTGGAAGAAGCAGAAGAAAAAGACAATGAGGATCGAAAGAAAGGAGTGGCCATGCATCAGAAAGGGTTTGCGGATGTGGAAGCAGACAAAATGTGGCGGCCTTGCACTGAAATGGAGCTCATGGACCGTTTGCAGTGCAGGGAGGATGTTGTGGAAAGCTCAGAACAAGTGACTGAAAGCGAATTGAAGCAGTGGAGCCAATTTGGGATGTTGCCGCCAGGAAGAGGTGGAAGAGTGAAGACATCTCGAAGGGCCACTGAGATGCACATGTTCAATGTCAACAGAGATATTGCAATGTTGGAAAATACCATGTTAAAGGAGGTGGGACGTTGGTCGCCAGACTTTTCATGGGTGCCAAGACCGCTATCTTGTGGTACCAGATATTTTTTGGTGCTTTTTAGCGGCCATCGTCGGTTTGCCGACATTGCTCAGCAGTTGTCCTGGAAAAGCAACATCATACCGATCTGCGTGGATTTAGCCGTGGATCCTTGGCACGGCAATATCCTGCGGGACACACTTTGGCTCCAACTCATCCGGGCAAGGAAAGTTGCAGGTGCTCACGCAGGTCCCCCCTGCGAGACTTATACCTTTGCCCGTTGGATTGAAGTTGAAGGAGGTGGACCAAGGCCATTGCGGACCACTTCAGAACCATTGGGAAAAGATGAGCTTACCATCAAGGAGGTCGAACAGGTCTTCATTGGTACCATCCTCATGCTTCAAGCGATCTATTTGCTGCTACTGGTGTTTTTACATGGAGGCAGCTTTTCACTGGAGCACCCCAAAGGCCAGGGTGGAAAAGATGGCAAGTGGTCCATCTGGGACTCTGCTTTTATCCAACAACTTTTGCTCTGTGCGGAAGTACGGAGGGTGGATTTCCTTCAGGGCCCATTGGGCCAGCCCTTTCCGAAGCCTACTTCGATGCTTACAGGCAGACTGGAAAAGTTTGCCACGCTGCTGTTCGATCACTACCAGCCCAACTGGAGGCCAACTGACAGATTGGGAGGAAGGGAAAAAGACAGCAAGCAGTGGAAGACCGCGAAGGCGAAAGCCTACCCTCCTTTGCTGTGTAAGGCTGTGGTGGAAGCACATCTTCATTTTGCAGAGACCATCACAAGTGATCATGAGGAGCCTGAACCTGAGGGGTTGCGCGAAGCCCTTCAAGTGTTAGCCCAACCTTTTGATCCCTACAGCATGGACAACAAGGGTGCCGTCATGGGAGCAGATTATTGGGGACGTGCTGTCAACGGCATCTAATTGCACTGCTCCAGTCACTAGCCACCAGGTTTGATTTCTGGTGAAGCGAAGACTGTTGAGCCATTTTCGGTGTGTCACCCCATCTACCATTTTCCACATGTTCCGCCAAAGCGGCTTTTGGGAACGTGTCGTGCAAGCAGGCGTCACAGAGACTCTGACCGAGTGGAATGAAAAATATGTATATGTATATGTATATATATATATGTATGTATGTATGTGTGTGTGAATCCATATAATATATGTCGCTACACACATATGTGTGTATATATCAATGTATAAGATATATCACTGTGCTGTGTAGAGAGGTAGGCCCAGGTAGGCCATCCAGGTCCCCCATCCCCCGTTGTGACTTGCCCTGCGGCACGTGGATCGCAGTTCATCTCTGACTTCCAGGTCCTTCACCAAGCGCCGGCTGGCCGCCTCGGAAACGCCCCGAACCACGGAGATGTTACGGATGTTTTTCAACGTGTCAACGTGGGAAATTCCCGAAACGAAAAATGGGACTATAGCTGGGAAAATATGAGAAATATTGAGAAATCCCCGAACTGGCGGTTTTTTTGCTGGGAAAGTCATCGAAAAAACAGAGTGAATGTTCGAGGCAGCCATGTTTGATGACACTGTTTCGGGTAGCCATCTTCGTGGTGAAAATGTCCATGTGAACTACCCCAAACATGGATCCAGATGTGCAAAAACGACAAAAATTGGGAGAATAATTTGACGAATATAGCCTAATATAGCCCAGATGATATTGGGGATGAATGAGATATAGTTGAGATAGATTGAGATATGACTTGATATAGCCAACTAAAATATGCGGTGTGTTCTTGGAAAGTTGTATGAATGAGACTTAAATCACCAACAGGGGTCTATTTCATAACCAATCAACAGGTGTTTCTTCAGCGGCCTCTGCAACCTGTTCCAGTGCATACGCCATCACCACCTGAGCCAAAAACCATGGAATCCCCTGGAGTTTTGACCTCAAAGTTGCGGGAACATTTATGGATGTTCATCCCATATATACACAGTATATCATTATATATCCATATATATATATATATATGTATATATCCCATGGTATCATAGGTTTTTTGAACCCATCCCCATGTGAAACCGTGGAGTTCCACGTGTTTCAGTGGATGGAAATCCTCAGCGATCATTCGGCTGGTGCAGAAAGGCATTTTGTAAGTTCTGTTGGTTGATGATATATTTGGGAATATGTGGGAATACTATATGGGGATGGGTCAAAACCCTGGTACCTAGTGAACCCCAAAATAGCTGGTAAATGGATGTTGATCACCCTAAAAATGGTATCTATAGGTATTGATCCATACCCATATAAGTTTATACAAGCAAAAACAAACACACATCTTCCCAATAGATCATCAACTGGGCTTCACTTCTGAACACTGCTCAAGTGTGACTAGATTGGACTGTTCTAGTTGGACTCCTTTGGGTTCCCTGATCTCATGAAGGTTGGGGGCTCCAGCGAGTTCCTCATCTGCCAACTGCAACAGCAGGCCCTGCGAAGATCCAGAGACGGGTGAAATTCTATATGCTTTTCCATGTGGTAAATCCAATCAATATCCAATCATAAACCATAGAAAAGTGGTTGGTTCAACTATATATATATAACATTATATAACTATAAATGGGATGGTTTATTGGTTGGTTTAACCACATTTAACTAGCCATGAAATAACAAACCCATTAACTAACCACTTGGGGGTTATTTTACATCATCCCCAAAAAAAAACGGGGTAAGTATACCGGTATACCCTAAACCCTAAACCCTAATTGGGGATGGGTAAAGATGCTTGGGTTTACCATGGCTTACCTCATGATCCAATCATAAACGCGCATGTTTTGTTCATCTCAGCAGAGAGTCTCGGAGTCACTCAGATTTGCCGCTTGTTCTTCCCTTCCGAATATTCCAATACCCCCCACTTTTCGATGGCGCCGGGTGCAATGTATTGGATCTAAAAAGTGGCAGGTCAATACGATGGTAGTTTCTATTGTGATGGGATTTATTGGCTACGTAAGTGGATATGGGCCATAGAGATTAGGTGAGTGCGAAAGAGATTTGTGTCCCAAGCAGTCAACAGCATCTTCATCACCTCGAACAGCCGTGCTCACAGTTTGGAAGGCCTCTTGGCCTTCAGCACGGCTTCACAGACATCAAAAATCACCCCCTGGCCATCGCTAAACTCCGCCTTGGTGTAGAGTCTTCCGGCCTCTTCTTTTTCAATCCATGCCTCTGCCTTGAACAAGCCAGGCATCGGCACTACCGGCTTTAACATCTTCACCGAAAGGGACAAGGTAGGACATCTGCCCTGCAGGTAGATGTTCCCCAAGGTGGCAGTCATCAAATCCAACAGGGCAGCAATGGCACCACCATTGCCTACGCCAACCTGGTAGTCGCCATTGGAGCAGAAAGGCCCAAAATAGACCGCCCAAACCGCGCGCTTCCGGTCGTTCCGGAAGCAGCGTTCGATGTAAAAGGGACTTTGCCTTCCGATCACGAAATGCATTGGAGCACTGTGGCGGTGAACATACCTGGGTGCTGGGAGCCAGGCCCGGAAAAAATCTTGGTCGATTGTGGGGCCCCAATCATGATGGAAAACAAAATAGCTTTGAAGCCAAGAAAGGTAGATAGATAATGGCAGATACAAGTGGTTGAGCTCTGGATGTTTAGCATGAATGGGCCAGTTCCGTGTCCAACCACCTGCTCCATCGCACTGATCTTTTAAGAAGTCTTGCCACCACTTGGCCTCGGACGCCGCGTGGGCACCTGCAGAATCTAAGCTCCGATACCATTCCATCATCTCCTCCGGTAGTTGAAAGGCATCTGCCCCGTTCACAGGGTCAGCAGCCCTTTTCCGGTTTCGAGCCTCCAAGGACTCAGACTCGTGTTCGCCCATGGCGCAGGTCCCGCAGCTTCAAACTGGAAGTTGTATTAAGCGCTTGGGAAGCCAACTGATCTTTTTGGTGCACTCAATTTGGAGCATTTTTTGGTGTTTGATCAAATGGGTTTTTTGCCCAACTTGTCTCCATGTTTTTCTAAATCCGAGAACTGAAGGTCATCGAAAAATCTCTTTGTCCATCGCAAGTTCCCATGGACACGACCCTGATGCGGTCGCCTCCGTGGTGAGTTCTGCACCGGGAACCAGGGAATTCACCTGGCCGTGTGGTTCTGCGTTCTGAATCATTTAGACTCTAGACCCCCAAAAAGGGATTTGGGAGATGAGATTTGTCCTGTTCAAAATGGTAATGGGTGGGTGCCATTTTAGTGTTTGGGTAAGATCAAATCAGATCGAGTGTTGGCTTTGCAAAACAAGGTGCAAGTCCAAAGTTTCGAGACATGCCTTTTTCTCACGTCTCACCGTCATATCGGGTGTTCATCCCGTTTTGGCAGTTTAAATTCCAGTTTTTGATGTTTTGTTTTGGAGGATGTTGGATGGGTGATTACAACCAGCAACCCCTAAGGAAGCGCACCAAAGTGTCCAGGTTGGGCAACGGCGCCTTAGCGACCTGTCAAATGGATCTGGTAACCCCTTCTCCGCCAGGTAACTCAGCCCGCTTTCTATCTACGCGGCTTTAACGAACAAACGGATCTGGAAAACCCTGGGTTTCCGTAGGAAAATGATTTACTTTCATGGTGGGTCTTGAATTATGCGCAACTGCGTTGTATCCCGATATACTCACCTATAAGTGGTTTGATCCTGCTGCCTGGTCATATAAACTCCTTGTGTACGGGAACCACACTGAAACAGTGTCTCTCAGGGGTGTTTATGAGCAAGGGACATGGATTCATATGGTGTATATATATATATAATTATATAATATATAGTCATAATATATATATATATACATATATAATTATATAATATATAGTCATAATATATATATATATATACATACATATATATATATAATTATATAATATATAGTCATTATATATATATATAATTATATAATTACAGGATATAATATATATATATATAATATATATAATATATAATATATATATATATAATTATATAAAATACATATATATATATAATTATAGAATATACATACATATATAATATATATATATAATTATACATTATATATAATTATAATATATATATATATAATTGTAACATATATATATATAATTAGATAATATATATATATATATAATTATAGAATATATATATATATAATTATATAATATATATAATTATATATATACATCCAATCATAAACTCTACTTACTACAACCCTCAAATGGTCAAAGCTGGGGACGCTTTGTTGGGTTTGCCACAAATGTCAATTCATATGGGGGATACCATTTATCATTCGAGTCTTTATCACATGCTATTACTATTTTTGGGGGTGGGCTATCAATACTATCGCAACCTCGACAAAATAGAAAGATAATTTCCTACACTACACAAAACAGTAGCAAAGTATGCGTCTAGAATTGCCCCCAACGAATAAACTGCTCATTTTCTTATCCAGGCTTGACATAAACCTGCGTGGCCCAAGTTCGGCTACCACGCCTTGAGAAGAAGCTCAGGGTCACAGGAGTAGTAAGGACCCACAGAAGCAAAGAGGCGCCTGTGGCCGCCGGGTCAGATGGAAAAACGGAGGGACCATCTAAAGGAGTTATCGTGAGACGGTGAAACACTTGGCTCTTTCACCAAAAATGGTTTTCACCCAGAAAAGAATTCAGGATTCTAGTCAACAAATCTGGGGTGAAAGGAAATCTGACAACCAAACCATGGTTCCTACATGCAAAAATAAGGGTAAACCAATAACCGCTGTAAATCATCCAAATCTGGGAATGAGACTGGTTGGTTCAGCCGTCTTGAGCCACCAACAATGAAAAATACTTAGTTTGGTCACTAAGACTTGGGGATGATTTCAAATCCCCAGTGGAAATGGAACGAATGAACCATGTTGAAAATCACCCATCAGGAAATCGCATGTGAAACATTGTGAAACTAGCAATTCAATTGTTATCAGCAACACTTGGACATCTGAAGAAACAAGTCATCCAAGTCTTCATTGGGTCCAGAAAGGAGTTCGACTCCGAAATTCCAAAGGTCTGCCTGAAAACAACGACACTTGGAGTCCTTCCAAAACATCCATTCTGCATCTTTCAATCTGACCAAGTCCAACGTCGAAAACCAAAAAAAAGGCCCTGCGTCACAATTTCGAGTATCCAGGTGATCCAACCTGCCCTGTTTGGCATCGGCGCCATCGTCACCTGCACCATGATGGCCATCAGTTGTAGAAATGATGGTTTAAGTAGATTACGAGCTGTATATAGATAGTATGGCGAACCAAAACGAGGCACCAGCCGACTCTCAAATGGCTGGCAATCATCAGGCTAAAACCATCCAATCTTTGTCAACACCCTAGACTGCCCTTGCTTTCACACCAGAATAACTGGTATAGCTGGATGTTCATCTCAATTGACCCATTCCCAAATCTCTTTTGCTGCTACAATGCCAGTGTTTCATCACGTCACAATCCCAATTTCTCAGAAAATCCCCTTATTTTTCTCAATGAAATGGCAGTGTGTCAAAACCTTGTACCCCTGGTGAACATCAAAATAGCTGGTAAATGGATGTTCATACCCCTAAAAATGGTATTAATAGGTATTGATCCATACCCAAATCTCTATTTTTGATGCTTAATTCATCTGAAATCCCCATTTTTCCCGGTGAAATCCACACGTGTCGTTCCAAAAACGTGGGAAAAAATCCCCACCTGGCACGGCCGTGGCCGGGCGCCGCCCCCGCGGCGCGAAGCTGCCACTGTCCGGCGGCTCCGCAGTGGTCTCGGCGCGTTCCGCCTGAGTGCAAAATGGTGAGTGTCATGGGTTATATATATATATTATGTAATATTATGTAATAATATGGGATTGTAATGGATTGTACCACATATGTAATATGGTATAATCTTCATATGACATAATCCATTATAAATCAGTATGATATATATGTAATGGATTATGATAATAATTATTAACAATAATTAATAATAATTAATAATAGTTATTATAATTAATAATAATTAAGAATTATTAATAATAATTAATAATTATTAATTTAATAATAATTAATAATTATTAATAATAATTAATAATAATTAATAATGATTAATAATAGTTAGTAATAATTAATAATAATAATATATCATACTGTAAGAACGGGATTATAGCACATACATAAATTATATCATAATATATCATATATGTGATGTAATGAGTATCATATATCATACTGTATGGGATTGTAGCAAAGATATATATATATACGTATACATATCATAGATAATGGAGTTATAGCAAATATAATGCGCTATAGTCATAATGATAATGATGTATAGCCATTGTAATTATACCAATTGTTCTGGGAGATTATAATTATCCACAGCAACGGGATATTTTGTTAAATGGGAATCCCCGAAACCGGTTCCAATACTAAAATAGTCTAATGACTTGGATGAATTTAGGGGTACCACCATTTAGGAAACCAACATTTTTCTCCACCCTTGTTGTGTAGAAATCCTATGATTGTTGCTCAATATCCTCAAGTAGTTTCCGTCTCCACATTTTTGTTGGCTTGAATCACCAATTGGGGTTTATGATTGGGCTTACCACACTAAATTCCCAATGGGATTGTAATGGAAATATCATGTTGGTGAATAAAATCCGTGATTATATAGCAATGGTAATAATCTCATTATGATCCCATTAATAATGGTAAATAGCACCTGATTAACATCACCACTATGGGATTATTATTGGTATAATCTCCCAAAAAGAATAGGAATTCTTATATAAGTCCCATTACAATTGGTATAATTACCATGTTTGGTGGGATTATTGGTATAATTCCCATTACAATTGGTGTTACTCCCATTACAATGCTATCCCCCTTATCCCATCTTTCATGAGGCTTGGTCAGCCATCCATGCGAAATCCTCCAGTGGCACGCGGCACCTTTGAAAGACAAAGAGGTTTCGGCATCGATGTTTCTGCCAGAAAGGCATCTGCCTGGGCATGGTTGCCTGGCTTTAGGAAAATATTGAAAATAGACCACAAATATTCAATCATTCTATTAACTAATTCAGTTGAATATTGTTCAATTAGCCAATCATCTTAAAAATAAGATCAAAAAATACATCTATTCAAACCTCTGTGCATGGTTGGTTTTGGACCCCAAGGTTTGAGCCATACCCGTCTCGAATACTGGGATTGCGCTTGACTTTGGCCACAATGGGATGATAAGGAGTATCCCAATACATCCAGTGCCTCAGGGCTTGTGACCGAAGAGCACCCAGGAACACTTAGCTATCCTGAAACATCCCAGCATGCATCCCACCCCGAAAACATCCGACTGCGCCTCAGCTTGCAAGGACTCGAGGTTTTGTGGTTCAGAGAGAATTCCATCCAACTTCTCCCAGTCTGGCAAACCGCGTCCCTGCCGTGCAAGCATCTTCACGCTGGCCAGACCAGGAAAATCACAAAGCATTTCGCGAATATCATGGGCATTTTTGCCACCGAAATCATCCCTCAAGACCATGCGGATGTCGTTTCACTCCATCCCATTGTTGACTTCCCCCATAAACAAACCATTTGGGGGGTCCACACCCATATCCATTTGTCACTGGCTAAACCCCTATGTAAAATGGTTTCATCATGTAAAAAAAAACCATTTTAGGCTGGGTAAATCCCATCATTTTGTTCTCAAATGCCGCATTGAATTCAATAGCTGTACCCTAAATCTCAAATGGGTGTGTCTGAAAATAGTGTACCCCTAAACCCAATGGTTAATGATCATTATCCCTATTAAATGGCTATAATTGGGAATATACCTTATTTTCAGACAAACCCAAATGTCTATCAGTCTTGATGGATGGTTTGGTGAAACAATGTCATAAACCATCCCCCAGTCATCACCATTTCTATAGGTGCTATAGACCATTCGACATTGTTTTACCCACATAGAAATTATACCTAGCCAGGCATGCCTTCTCCGTCTCCTCCGGCATGCCATCAAGCCAGGGATCGTCCCCACCTGGGAGGTTATGCCCCATTAAATCACAATTTTTCTTGGGAAAATCGACCTGTTTTCATGGTTAAATCAGTTAAATCCCTATTTAAGTCATAGTTAAATCCTCATTTCTGATGGCTTCTGCTGACCACTTCTGATCGCTAAATCCACATTTTTGTTGGTTAAATATATATATAGAGAGAGAGAGAGAGATTTATTGCATTTAATGGGCACTGGGCAATGCGATGTGCTGAGGCAAGGTCCATCCTCCACAGCATCAGGCATGGTCCTTCGACCTCGAAAAATGCAATATATACAGATGTATATATACATGTACAATGTCGAGTATATGTGTACAATTGTGTATTATGTATATATATATATACATATAATATATATATATATATATATTATCGATCTATATATATATTATCGATATACTTATAGAATCGATATAAGAAACCCTATTGAACATGTTCTTACGGGCAAAGTTGGAGGTTTCTCAAGTGGGTCAGCTCAGCTCTGTCCTCAGATGGGATCATCACGGATGGACATAAGATAGATCTACTTATACTGTCACATACTATATATACATTAATATACACTATATAACTCTATGATATCATATATATATAACTATATGATATCATATATATATAATTATATATAACTACTAGATTCTTATACTATATGTTCATCGTATCTCCAAGATACCATGCTTTGTGTTTTTTGTACCCATTTCAGCCGTGAAGTGCGGTCACCACCCGGCCTTCGTCCACCAGCCGGTCCATCAGCCGCAGACTGAGGCGCCGCTAACAGCCGATTCTATGACTCAAAGAGGTCATTGCTCACCCATCATTATGGTGAATCATAGATTATCTAATAATGATCATTATCACCCATCAGGTCATTATGATTGTGATGATCATAGCAATGATAATGGGATAATAACTGGGACAATTCAGCCGAATTCCAAAGTGATAAAGTGATGAACTATGATGATAATCAATCATTGAAATTCATAGCTTACAATGAACTTATGATCAAATTACATCAAAGTACCAAAGTCAGAAGTAAAAACCATCCAAGATGCAGGAGTCAAATAACCAAAGTCCCTCAAAATCTGCTCTGTAGCAAGCCGTTGCACAGCCTGGTCTTGACGATTCCTTCAGGTGAGTTTCCAGTTCTGCAGAAACCCCACATTTGCCACATCATCTATGCTATAACCACCATGAATAACCTTGGTCCCAGCTATTGGTGGTTATAGCATAGCTGCTGCCATCGGATTCTCCCAAAGATGTTGGGTCTCCCAGGTCTCCCAACATCTGCGGCACAGCACCCAGAACGAAGCCTTTAGGGCCCTGCCCAGTACAGGCCTCCAGGGGACTAGGGAGGCCAGGACCAAGATCTTAAAGGATGGTGATGTCTGAGTAATCACATCCTTCAAAATCTTAAATGGATAATATTAAATGAGGTACAATATATTGTAGTTAACCTTGAAAAAAAGGAAGCTAATATACGTTCACTATCTTGAAATGGGAAATATAGCCAATCTAATATTAAATCACCTCATATGGGCCTCCAAAATGAATAGGTTTCCACCAGGGTGTTTTAATATTAGGGCGAAGAGATTATTGTACTGGAAGACTCGAAGACGTTCTTCTCATTCAATGAATGGGCTTGAGGACAAAGTTACAATTGATGCCATGATGTTTACCTAAAAGTGTAGGGCTTCCTGCAAATGTTCCCGTCAACTTGAAGGAATAATTGTTGACCGGATGAGTAGCTCATTCCCCAGGGACTTTGCAGTTGCAATCAATAAGTGAGTACTACACTGTTGAGTTTCACCAGTTGCAACGGGGATGTATAAACCCCACTTGGAGGGACTTGCAATATCCAGAGAACATGCTATGAACGACATGAAATACGTTCAATTTGGGTTGCGGGGCGCATTCGGTATCCTAGGGTCACTGTATCGAGCCTGCTGGAACTGGGCAAATGCACGACCTAAGTCTGGCGCTGTGCATCTCTGATTAAATTGACTGCTGACAAATGTCACTGGATACCCGTCAACCTTGTTTCCATGTGTTTCCTGCATCTCAAACAGACTTCAACAAGGGAAAACAAGTCCCCTCCTGAGCTGTGTGTCCCCTTTCCATGTCCAATAATCTAGGAATCTCATCATCATCGTTGTCGTCGTTGTCGTCGTCGTCGCCGTCGTCGTCTCATCATCATCATCATCATCATAATAATAATTTGAGCACAGTCTTGTCGGCTCACCATAGAATCCACCCTTTCTGGTGATGTCGTTTGATGTGTCATGAGGGAATGGATTGAAAACCCATGCCATACCCAGTAGTTCATATCGCAAGATTCCAAAAAAAATAGGGGATGTTCACCTACTAATATTTACACCCTGTTTGGTTTTGACCAATATTTGCCCACATGTTTTGCCAAAAAAAACAACAAACAACAAATCCCTCAGTCACCGGCGGCCATATGGACTCCGTCGACGTCCGTAGAGCGCGCGACGGCCGAAGGATCTGAGCGAGACGGACGATTTGTCTATCTGTTGGGGTTCCTGTATACATTATATAAGATATCATACATGAATGTATACAGGAATAGATAGAAATATCATGAAATATCATACATCTTGGTTCTATCTATTAATGTACGATATCATGTATACAAATCATATGCAATAAAGATCCTAGATCATGGGATCACCCACGAAGCATCGACTCGCATGGACGACCGGTGCCTCAGCAATCGAATGAGAGGCTTGGGCATTGCACCATGCGATTGTCCCAAAGTCTCCTGACAGGCCCAGCAGGCCCAGCTGACAGCATCTTGGGGGCCCAGTTGACTGATCCGATCGAGAAAAGTTCAGCCCCTGAGCCGAAAAAAGCCTGGAGCATCCCCATCTCTGATGAGTAAATCATCTACGTAGCATCATGAAAATGTTCGACTAAGCCAGATTTACGTTTGATTTACGTTTGATGGACATGATTGCTCCCATTTTTTTGAAGGTACCAAGGGAGTGTGTGAATGGAGAGGTAAAACATGGTAAAACCACCAATTTCATACCTGTGTCGCAATAGTCTACCATAGTTTACCTGCAAGGGTATCTTGAAATGTGGATTTACCATCAATTCATAAATTTCTTAGTAGCACTAAATCATGAAAAAGGTGATTCATCCAGCCTCAAGCAGCCGTCGGAAGCGCACTGCATCGAGTTCCTCTCGCAGCCCATCGCAGTTGGCCTGGCCATAGCTGAGGGTGTCCCAGAGGGTCCCAAGATGTTACAATCTCCACAAAGGGCCTTGCAAACTTTGCAAACGCGGTAACATGGGTGTGAATCCCCACAACTGCCTGGACCTGGGGAATGGGGGGGGCCCTTGCATCACCCATGTTCGTGTTTTTGCTGGGCGCCCCATAGAAATGGCCTAAGATTGCGCCAAATTTAAGACGACAAGCACTGCATGACCAGGTCATCCACTGCCTCCCAATATTCGACCGCATGGCTGGTCATTGCTTTGCAATGCAGCGCCTTCTCAAGAATCAACGTGTGGACGGCCATACCATCCTCTTCAAGAATGGAAGTCTCCTTCCACCGCTGCCCTTGCACCAGCTGTCGTTCCGGAAGCTTTCTGAACCAGGTGACCAGGGACAGCGACCGTTCCAGTGGCACCACTCGGTCCCCTTTGGAGGCGATGAGGAGCACCGGCACTTCACGCAACAAACGCCAGATCCCCAGCAACGGGCCTCGGGGCGCACTGGACAACTTCCCTGCCAACTGGCCGCTGTTCGCTGACTCAACCAAGGTCTTGCCGAAAGAGTTGGCTGGTTCCTCGTGAAAGGCTTGGCAGGCACCAAAGTTCATGAGCATGTTCAAGCCACAACCTCAGGGCCACCAGACAATGGGTGCCCCATATCATCCCATTAGACTGAAAAATGGGTGGTTGACAGTACGAAGTTCGCCATTTACATCATTTACCCATCAAAAATATTCATGGTCTGCTGTTCCACTGCCATCTTTCGAGGCCGGATCGTCCGAAGCTTCCCCACATCCACCATGATCCACCAGCGCCTGTGAAAAACGCCAGCGCCGTAAAGGTCATCTGCTTCAGCGCTTCGCTGTTGCCAGTCGCCTCGGGCTGCAGCGGCTCCACTGGAGACTCGTCCGTAGGATCGATGGGAACATCCTGTCAGGCCGGTGAAGGAATGAGAATAGAATAACATGGATACGTTTAAGGGGAAATCAGGAAATCTATGATTCTACCACAAAACATGATGTGTTCAATGAGATTTGACCTTGGTGCCTTGGTCCAGTTCTTGGTCTTCTCCCAAAACAAAGTGTGAACATCTGGTTTTGCTTTTGTCTGAAAATTGGATACCCACCAAATCCACTGGCTGATCATGATGTTCCCTGGTAACATTGCAACTGAAGAGTTATCCTGCATTTTATGGTCAACCCATGTCAAACCCATCATCTTGGCCAGTTCCATCCCTATATATCCCCATGATGATGCCACTAATTCCAGAAAAATATCCCTTTTGTCCATCTTCTTCCTATCAAAAGAGTCCGGATTGTTCGGCGCGGTGCCCCACCGAGGCCCCACAGGGCACCTCATGAGGCAACAGCCCAGCCCCATCACAGATGATGCACTTCAGCGCCAGGTGTGGGTCCTCCTGGGTCATGGTGCTCCAGAATCCGACCATGCCATGCGGGTCGTTCCCTGTTGGTGGTGTTATGACAATCCCGAAGAAGGCTAGATCTGTAATGTGTACATTTACATCTGTAAGGCTAGATCTGTAATTACTATTTATTTATTTACTTAGTTAGTTAGTGAGTTGGTTAGTTAGTTAGTGAGTTGGTTAGTTGGTTAGTTGGTTAGTTGGTTAGTTGGTTAGTTGGTTAGTTGGTTAGTTGGTTAGTTGGTTAGTTAGTTAGTTAGTTAGTTAGTTAGTTAGCTAGTCAGTTAGTTAGTTAGTTTGTTAGTTAGCTAGTTCGATAGTTAGCTAGTTAGTTAGTTAGTTAGTTAGTTCCTGCGTTGGTTATCTATTTATGTATTTGTTTGTTTGTTTTATTTATATGCTATATGTTACATATGTTACATATGTTATATATATATACAATTATATGCATATTATCCAATTTTTCACCGTGGCAAATATGTGAAAAGGGTTGGATTCATCAACCATGTGCCTCCCTGATTTGAGGATTTGAGTTCCAGATCAGCCCAACCGAATGCAAGGGGATCAAGGGGGTCCCAGGAATTGCAAATGGGTAATAGCCATAGCCATAGCCATGTTATACCCCAGCTGTATATGAAAAATGTATCCCTTAAATTCTGGCTGATGTTCGCCGCTTACGATGCCTTGATCCCGCACAGCCAAGGACCCCATTCATTACATCCATTAAAATCCCAAAAAAAACATGGGTGAAATCCCGTAGCTATAAACTTCCAAGGCTTTCCCTCCTGCGTCTGTTGCTTCCTCCAGCTCTCATCCCACATGCTCAGCAAAGCTCGCGCGAAGCCGAATCCGCCGTCACTGAAGAGGTGCACGAACACCGAGCGGCCGCGAGAAAGCTCCAAGAGCTTCGCGTGGATCCTTGGATGATGAGCACTGTGGGCACCACATAAAGGGTAATTCAACCATCCAAAATTGTTATTGACCCATCAAAAATGGTGATTGTACCATCGAATTTTTGGAATTAACCATGAAGAATTGGGATTTAACCAAGCAAAAAGGTAAGTTAACCATAGAATATTAGGACTTACCTACGAAAACTTGGGACTTGATCAGCCAAAAAATAGGGATTTGGCCTTTCACCAGTAGGAATTGATTCAAATACCCAAAAAGTGGTGCATGTTGCCATCAAAAAAAGGCTTCACGAAGCCTCCTCTTGAGGTAAGGTTCAGGTCCAACATATCTTCCCGGCCCAATCTCGCAGGGCCAAATGCTAACACACCAAAGCCTTTCTCCGTCCAATGCTCAATGGCAGGCTGCAAATCATCCAAATGAGAACCGCCGAAGCCGCAAAGCAAAACGAGCGGACTTTGTTCGTCCCTAAAGCCTGGGCGCTGGGCAGCCAGGCACTGGCACAAGGCCGAACCATGATTGTTGCTGGGTCTAAACCCCCTGAAGCATTTACAATAATCACCTTTCTCCACGATAAAGATGAGACCCAACCACCCAGCAAAACCCAAAACCCAGCAGCTGTAATATTCCACGTCCACCATCGATGAAGCCCAGGACACCAAACACAACTCTTCGCAGATGATCCTAGCAGCTTCCTTCAGCTGAGGCTTCTTGCTGCAGAACTCCAGTTGTTTCCCCAGGAACAGGAGCACCCGTTGCCGATTCTCCCGCCTCCAGGCTAAAAATAACATGTCCTCCAGCAGCCCTTGGAACTGCTTTGATGCGGCCGATGGGTTGCCCTCCAAGTGCTTTAGCACCCCCTGTTCCAGGTCGTCTAAGGTGCCTCCAGGCCATGGAGCGAAAATCATGGAGAAATTCCGATGCTGGACGAGATAGCCTTTCCATCATCTCAAAAAAAAACGATCAAGATGTATCAGGTTGCATCTCAGGTCTCCACCCTCAGAACCAGCAACATCCACAAAACTCAAAAAACGCGCCTTGGACCTCCCTCAAGGTGCCATGCTTCTCGCTTCCCTGCACGTACAGCAGCTCCGGGATGGGTGCGTTATTCCCCAGGTGCTTCCCCGTGTCGCGCACGTCCGCGCGCACCAGCAGCGGCCGACCCTTCAGCTTGCTGCTGATCCAGCCGCTGTTGGGACCGCGGCCCCGCTGGAGCTGGTAGTGGAAACGAGTGCCCACCACCTGGAAGGATTTGGATGGATTCCCCCTGTTTTGGATGGATCATTTTGTCTGGTGTCAAATAGATCGAGTCACAAAAAGTGCTGGGGTGAATCCTTACAACTGGGCCAAAGGATGCTACTGATCCTGCAGTTGCAACAATTTGGCTCAGAGTGATGGATCCGCAAAACATGGATGGTTTCATACTATTCAAACATCAAAACTTATCAAAAAACTGAAGCCATTCACACATCTATTGGGTAACTGTTGAATGAAATTGCTTTTTTTTGAACGCTGCATATGCCAAGGCAGAAATCAAACCAAGAACGACCTCGTGATGTGCAATCAAATATCTTCAACCATCATCTGCCATCAAAATTGCTTCAAAATTGGTTAAAATGATATGGTTTGCAATCCTAAAAATGAACCAAAATCAGGTTTTGAATCTTGACCCCTACCCAAATGTGATTTTGCATAGCCCTGGAAAAATTGCCTTGTTCGATGATGTACCTATCAAAAATGGTGATTTCTAGAGCTATGGTAAATAACCAGGCGACATTTGTTGCAACTTCCAAGCCACACCTCTAGCTCTTCCACGATGGACTGCGTCTGCAGGCGTTCTGGGAGTTCGGGCGACGTCAAGTCCCGCCCTTCACGCACCAAGAGACCGGCAGTCGAACCACCCACCACCCGCCAGATGCGGCCCATTGCACCATGGGAGGCAGCTAGGAACGATTGTTTTTTTTCGGGGTTGGGATATCTTAAGTCATAAGTATGTCAGAATTTAACATAGCTATGGAAAATCACCATTATTCATGGGAAAATCCACTATAAATGGTCATTTTCCATAGCTATGTTAAATTACCAGAGGGTAAGTAAATAGATAAGTTGACGCAAAATTGCGTTTTCTATAGGGCCTATTAGGGAAAACCATTGGATGGAAGGGGGTCCCCAGGTTTCCAAGCCATTTTGAGTGGCAAGTAGGGTTGATCCCCCATTTGCCTGTTCCAATGAACGAACCATTTGGGAGTCTTCCCCACGCAGAACCAGAACTTATGGGGAGGCTGATTGAGATCCATAAAATTTGCCCAGAGGATTGCAAGTCGGTGGTTCTGCCCTTAGTCCCCACCTTCAAAATGATAAGTGGAACTCAGCAGGCAGCTTTGTGCCAACAGCTGCAGTTCAAGGATCATGGAGCTATCGATTGGCTATCGATTCTCTCCCCTGCAAGTGGGAGCATCATGCAATGTCACCCCCTTTGTAGGATTCAGGTTTCAGACAGATGCGATTTCAAATTCTTGACGTGGTCAAGACATTGTAACCTGTGGTGAACACCAAAATAGATGGATGCTCATCCCCCTACTGGAAGGGTTTGATCCATGCCCGTTTAGGTTCAAATGCCAGACATGTGTTGGTTCAAACCGAACGATTCCTGCTGAAATACCCATTCTTGACCCATAAAATTGCTAGTTTTTTCCCTTGCCAAAGTTTTCTCAGCAAAAAAAAAACGTGATGTTGCGTGAAACTATGGTACCCCCCAAAAAAAAATGTTTTAGATGGTTTATCACCATTTTCCTATGACAACAAAATGCCATTTTGGGGTTCAGACACACCCAAGTCCATCCTTCATTGGTGAAATCCTTGTTTTGATGGTTAAATCCCTATGAAATAGCTGGGTAAGCCCCCGTGTTTACGGTTAAATTATGTTACATCACATGTGCTCAAATGGTTAAATCAGTTAAATCCCTATTTTTTCTTGATTTATTAAACCAATTAAATCCCCATATGTCATATTTGATGAGAAAAATCCCTGCATTTTGAATTCAAAAGGCCCGTGGGGATCGAATCGATTGCCTCCGTCTCAGTCCCCTCGTGCGCGGCGTAGAGTTGCTCTCGTGTCTCCAAGAAAAGGCGACAGAGGTACTGCAAGTTGGACACCTGGCGACCGTTTAGCGAAACTTTGTTGAAATGGAGATTTGAATTGAGAAAATCATCTATAACTGGGGGGATTGAAGCTATGATTATAGATTTAGTGGAACATAGTGGAACTAATTGAATCAGGGTTGTTCCAAACAGCCCAGATACGTTTGGGAGGAAGCTGGGTAGATACAGAGGGAAAATGACAAGTTTACCCCCCGAAAGTAGCTGTCATTTACCTGTGATGGGCTGGAGCAACCCTGTTTCAATGAGGCACTTGGATCAGCATCCCACATAGTAAAGTGATTAATAACTACCCACATTTGAGTGGAGATATGCCATGTATAGAACTGGGGGTGTACCATGGTTATTGCCCATCTTCCGACTGGAATGCACATCCAAGCAAGTATATATATATATATACCTTCAATACCCTCAACTTGGCTGGTCATTTTTATATAGTAGTTGACACCACAACATGGAGTGTGAAATGTATTGAACCATATTTAGGATGATGGGGGAACATAGTTTGAGACATTCCCACCTGAAGTGAAACACTCCTGGATTGCTGGTGGAGATTCCTAGTTTACGTGGATATAGACTGACTGCTGATCCGTAGTCAAACAAGTTGAATCAAACATGATCAAACCATTCCCGATGGGTGCCATATTTTTTGGGCAATTTTTTATTGGCCGGATGTTGAACCCTGGTTGATTCATCTGGGGCAACAGGAATGATATGGAATGATACCCCTCAACTCTTGGACCAGGCGCTTAAAAAAACTCTGCCCCAGTTGTACCCAGGGCACCAGTTCTGCTCTCTGCCGCCGCGCAGCAGATGGCAGCCCTGGCAAAAAATCAGCTGAGATCGACATCCATGGGATCTTGGTCCCAATCTGTGCCGCATGATTTTGGGATCTCCGCATCACCTCCATTTCTCCCATGTTTTGGTGGGTAAACCATGTTAAAAAAACCCATGATTGAGGGTTAAATCATAGTTAAATCATAGTTAAATCATAGTTAAATCATAGTTAAATCCCAATTTTTCACTTAACTTCAGTGACTTAAGAACCCTCTAAATGACCAAGATATGCAGCACGCCTGCATTCATCTGTGGTTGGGGCCTGAGCTCACGGACCAAGGGAAGATGCTCGAAAGCTATGAAACGAGAGTCTTGAATGTTTTTCTGGGCCGAACACCACTGAATTATGCTACCCCACACGACCTGCCTGGCTGGAAGTTCACCTTGTGGATAGCCAGCACCTGTGACAGGTCAGCAGGGCGTTGCAATAGGATCAACTGATAGGTGGTTGAACCACAGAAGGTACGCTGCCCGTCACATCAAGATTGTTGGTAAATGCCAATGGATGTTCATCCCAAGAAATTGATCTCACGGGTCTTGACACATCTCCATTGCCAGTCCAGTAGGACTCATCTGCCGACATGGAAAGCAAACATTTGAACATCAACAGACTGAGTTTACAAGATCGCAAAATCAACTCCTGGTTACCCCCCAGCCATCAGATGTCATGGCTTTGTTCTACCCATCTATAAATTCATATAAATTCGCAGTGGCCGATTCTTATGTCTCGACATCTCCTTCTATGACACCATCAATCGCCTCCACCAGGTGCAGCTGGAGCTTCAGCCATCTTCGGATAGCCCGCAGCGGTGGGTGGTGCTGGGGCGGCTTGCGCGGCATGTTTGGCCACGGGCGTCTCAGGCAACAGCTCCTGCTGTCGAATAAGGTGCTGGATCCAGCTCCAAACAGATTTTTGGGACGGAAAAAAACTGCGGAAAAAGTTGGCGAAAAATGAACCAAAATGAAGTAAATCGTGCCCAACAAAAAACTTAAGGGAAAAATTACGGTCTCGAGAGCAACGGTCCTCGGAGGATTCGGAGGAAGCTTCCTGTTCTGCCTGGGCTTGCTCAATCTCCGGCACTGGCGGCAGCGGTGCCATGCTGGGCTTCTTCCGCGAAGGGCTTCCCGTCTTGGGCGGCGGCGGAGGGGCCGAGGCCGGGGCTGGAGCGGGTGCCGGTGGCAGTGGTGCTGGGGGAAGCAGCGCCATGACCCGGGGGGCCATTGAGACAGCTGGCTCAGCTGGTTGTGCAGATTGGACTGGGGATGGCTCAGATACTTTTGGTGGGGTGGTTGGAGCTTCGGCAACTTTAGGTGGTTCTGGGGCTAGTTCACCAACTGTAGGTGGTTCTGGTGCTGGCGCTGCTTCAGAAACTTTCTGTTCCATTTCGGCCTCAGCTTTGGGAAGCACTTTTTCAGCCTTGGCTGGCATGGCTGGCAAGGCTTTAGGCGCTGGAAGCTGGGGTGCTTGCTTGGCTGCTGGCAGTTGCTTTGGTGGAGCTGGCGCCTTTGGAAGCTGCTTGGGTGGAGGTGGGGCTGCCGTGGACGGCAATGGAGTGGGCGGCAAAGGATTTAGGCTCAGCGTGGCTGCTCGGGCAAAGGTCCCCTTCGCAGGAGGTGCCGATCCGCTCAAGACCTGCGGATGGTACGAGTACAACGCCAAAAAAGAACAGCAAATCATGGAGAGCAATTGATGGTAAGTAATCATGCACAACCAATAAAACAAAGGGAATATCAATTTCAAATGATGGAAATCTAGGAAAATCATAGCCACCTTTTCAGGAACGCCAGAAACCCTCCATCTGCCTCTTCCAAAGACGGCCGTCGAGCTTGAGCTGACGTAGGTCGAAGCAAATGTTTCGGAGCACCCACCTAAAATCTGGGTCAACTGGACCAACAATGACCAAAATCTGTGGCCACTTAAAGGTCTAAATTGTTGACAGTTTTCCCTTGCAGGTTTTCATCCAAGTTTACAGTTTTCGAGATCTGTAAGACATCTGAAACGAAGAAGTGCGACCCTGTCACATGCTCCGGCGTCTCCCAAGCACCATCTCTTGGAGATTTGCCAAAGACCTGGGCAGGAGGGCCTTGCAAGGACTATGGGCATCTGTAGAGTATATGAATGTAGAAGAAATATGTTCTTCTTCTAAAAGGGCGAAAAAAATCTAAGCGGCTCAAACTACGATCTATTCTATGATAGGTTATCTCCCAGAGGATCATGACTGGCTAGTGGTTCCATGTTATGGACTGAGTGTTATGAACAAAACTATATTATATATATATATATATGCATGTAATTATGTATGTATATACAATACATATCCACATATGCTATGTCATCAAATATCCCATGAAAAGTTGTCCAATTTATCTATTGTCATCCATGATGAACATTATTTACCATTACCATCTGGTTATTTAACATAGCCATGGAAAATCCCTCATAAATGGAGGTTTTAATGGGAAAATCATCTATAAATGGGCCATTTTCCATGGCTATGTTAAATAACCAGAGGGTATAATAAATATCTCCACCGTCCTTCTACCAGACCCACCCGTTGTTGCCTCATCAGCATCTTGCACCGCGGAGTGTCGCCGTGGCGCCGCAGAGCTGGCAGAGCTCGGGCGGAAGAGGTGCTTTGGTGCACCGACCTGGAGCTGCAGGAAACCCCACAGGGTAAGATAGAAAACAGTGATTTACTACATACAGAATTAAAACATGTTAAAACTATATTATAGTGTAGGTTTACTACTACATCAAATAAAAAATAGTTATGTGTATATATATATGTATATTATATTATAGATAGCTAAAACTGCGAATCTAATCAGTATTGTAAGCCAAAAAAAAACGTGAATTACTTCGGTTTCTTTGAGTAGGATTGTACTTTTCTGTCTGTTCAACAGAGGTACTGCCTAAAATATTGACTTTGAGCAGCAAAGAAATCAGAATTGCAGAATGTACAGAAAAATATAGGGACAGTACCAAAAAATGCGGATCTTCGCGAAAAAACATGTTCTTGTTTTACCGTTAAAAGTGTGGTTCACCAGCGAAAATAGTGACTTTATCATACTTCATCAGCAAACATGTCGATTTGACCAGCAAAAGGAAAGTTTGCCAATAATTGATGGGGGGTTAACCAACAAGAATGCGGATTGAAACGTCAAATTGACATTTAACCATCAGAAATGGGGAGTTGATCACTTGATCACCAAAAATGTGACATTTCCCTGCAAAAAAATGTGTTTACATGTTTTTTCTTATGAAGCTAGCCCCCTTTTCAGGCAATTGTTTCCAATCAATCACCCATTGAGACGTGCCCAACCTTTTTTCCTTGTGAGATTAGTGATCTCCCACGGATGTTATTGTGAATGACGTATCCCATATCAAGTCTTTGCAAATTAATTCGATGCAAATGTGTATATATATATACACATAACATAACATAACATTTCATTCCATGACATAACATTGCATTACATTGCAATACATTACATTACAATCCATTACGTTACATCACATGACATTACAGAACATGACAGAACAAGACAGAACATTACATAACATTGCATTAATTACATTAATTACATTAATTACATTAATTACATTAATTACATTATATAATTACATTACTTACATACATACTTGCATACTTACATACTTACATACTTGCATACTTGCATACTTACATACTTACATACTTACATACTTACATACTTACATACTACATACTTACATACTTACATACTTACATTCATACTTATACACATACATCATACATCATATCTTCATGTTGTCTAATGTACATATCTGTCAAAGTATGTGTCAATCTGTCAAAACTCTGATCCATCTAGCCTCATCTTATCTTGTCTTGCTTATCTTATTTTATCTCCCTATTTCCTTATCTACGTACATATATATATATATATGCAGCATATGCACATTGAATATCCGCTGACCTCGGCGCAAATAGGCTGAGCGCCTATGGGATTTGGAGCAACTTGGGGGAAAATAGGAAACTTGACAGATCCAGAGGATCCAAAGAAAATCATGGCTTCTGTGGTTCCATGAAAGCTAGAAGTTGGTGTCCCCATCGAACTATAGATGCATCCCTCGATCCGCGAAAAATTTGAAGCAACTTACCTAACGCTTGGGAGCCCCAAACGGTGTTGAATCATCTTGAATCCCTATGTCTTCACGGTTACAATCCACATTTTCTTCGGCTTAGTGTGGTAAACCCTATCATACCCCCCAGTTTCTGATGGGTGAATTACCCCATTTCGGGTGAGTCTTTGGGGTTGTTGCGCCATGTCAAAAAAACCCGTTCAACAGAGCATCTGTGCCGCCATGACACGTGCTCCAATTGTGGTTCCCGTGGGGTGCTCCCAAAGAGCTCCGTCGCGTCTTCCGTGCCGCCCACCTCCAGTCAACATCCACCAGAAAGCGGGACTTCGATGAGTTGTTGTTGAAAATGGTGGATTCTTATGGTGATTATTGCGATGTTCATAGCGAACATGGATGAACATGGTGATCTTGAGAAGAAAAGACACGTGGAAACTAGCAAAAAAATGGGAAGTCTATATGTTTTTCGATTATTGGGGATGATTGGGAAGATGGACTTTGGCCAGTCAAAAAAGGGGTGGCTCACCAACGAAAACAGCGTGTAACCACCAATATATAATCGAAACGTAAATCCATCTATGTAACAAGATGGGTGTTGGCCATTTCACTCACTGACTACAACATATTCTGAAACGCGACCAAATAGATTTTCGGAATTGAACCAAAATAATACGGTAAAGCCAATGCCAGACAGCACCCGTTTGAGGATGTTTCATACCACCTGTATTTCTGAAAGTGGTGGTAGTTTATTGTATATTATATTAATGTTTACTATTGGGTTTAGGTTTACCATGGGTTTTGCACATTGCCCACTTCTATGGTTTCGGCCGAACGCCCCCAGACGAATTCCCTGCCTTCCGCTGAAGTTTTGGGGAATCCATTTTGGTGTTGATCTCCTCGGTGTATGGAAAATCACCGGGAGATTCTGTTCATTCCAAAAATCAATGGTTGCTCCAACCATGTTTTTTGTAGACAAACAAGAACGAAACAGGGAGAAAATACTGAGAAAATATGAGAAAATTGTCTTTTGCATCTTGATCCAGCCAAATTACCCGGTATCTTGAGGCGTTGGGAGCAATCATTTAGGATCAGAAACTGTCCCATTCTGGGGGCAATGATTTGCAGTCATGGCCAACTTGATTTCTTGGTCTTGAACATGTGATGTCAGAATTTTGCCGAAGCACTGACCATTTTCCAAGGGGAGGTGCTGGAACTTGAATTTCCATCTATTGCTTTATCCCCTCTGGGTAGGCCAGCCCCAAGCCCAAGCTATTCCAAACTCCAACCTCCAAAGGCAGTTTCCCCAAACTGCCAACGGATACCGCCACGTCCTCCATTTCCTTCAACAGTTTATCAGCCTCTTCCTCCACAGTCAATTCCTGTGAAAAGTCAAGAAGAGTTCTTTTCCGTGGACGACCTGAAAACTGTTACCCAACGAAATGATTTGGTAGACATGCCCTGCAAACTTTTAAATTCTGGGATGCTTATGTGGCTCGACTAAAAGTTCTATTGTTCTATACCCACCTGACATGCGACACAGGCCTGTTCCTAAGTCGGCTTGTTCCAAATAGGTCTCCACATCATTGTTAAACAACTCTTTAGGAAATTGGATCAGGGGGTCTCCATTTTGACACGTCCCCGGATGTATGTTGCTTGACGAAGCCACACCTTTGCCAGAATGGTGACAAGATGAAAAACCATCGGCTCGAAATGTGTCGGCTGGTATCCCCTCAATTGCTTCATGACCATCCATACTCCCTCAAGGGTAAGTTGTAAGATGTTGTAAGTGGATATATTTCACCGCAGTTTTGGGGCCCAAAAGGTCCCAAGGGCTTAGCTCGGTGAGTTGTGGCGCCTCTTCTTTTTCGGGCGGCACCTGTTGAGACTTGATGCCATCAAACATGCCATGGCTGGAAATCGGAAATCCCCCTTTTGTTTATGGCATTTATGAGCATTGAAATGGGAAAATCAGCGAATTACATGGGAGATTTTTCCAGCCCTGGGGCCCATGTTTGATTGCCAGAAAGTCTTCGCCACCAAGAATGGTATGGAATGCGATGCCCTATATTTGGACAAACCCATATCACCACTGGGGTATAGGACAGCTTTGTCCGAAAGTTGCGAAACAAAAAACTAGTGTCGTTTTGTGACAAACGCAAGTATATATGGTGGATGTTTGCAAAGTTTGGGCTACAACAACCACATCCTCAGCGAGTTTTATCCAGTTGTGTTTGTCCAAAGAGGCGACCCCTCAATCCATTGGGCAACTCAGCAAAATCCCCGTTTGGGATGAGTCAATCCCTCTTTCCACCAGGGAAATCCCCGTGTTTCTGGTGAAAAATCACCATTTTGGATGGTTTTTCAGTCAACTTCCAATTTTGGGGTGGGAAAACCATGTTAAAATTGTTAAATCCCAATCTTTTATGGTTGATTCCCCATTTTGTCTGGGTCGATCCCGAAAATTTCCAAGTCTAAAAATCCATAAAAACAGCAGCTGAGCATGGCTGACCATGCCATGCTGGGCTTCAGGTGCAACGGCAGTGTCCGGCATCGACACCTGCGGCTCTCAACCCGTTCAGAAATCACAAAAGAAAAACATTGGGATCATCCTGTCGAGTAGAATGGAAAACTACAGCATGTTTAAAGTTACCCTCTGGTATATAATTTAACATAGCTATGGAAAATGGCCATTTATAGTGGATTTACCCATTAAAAATGGTGATTTTCCATAGTTATGTTAGTTTACCAGAGGGTACTTACTAGAAGGCTCACTTCTTGTCACAAACGTAACGTTCAGGTGAGCTTTCAGGTGCTGCAGATTGCTATTCATAAAGATGGCTGCTGCCTGGTAACCGGAACCTTAGAGTCAAAAAACTCCGGTTGGTTGATGAAATACCACCTTTCTTTACTGGAATCATTGTTGTTTTTGGGGAAGTTCCTACTCCGAGTGTTTCCGTTTCCAAATTACACATAGTTTACGTATACCCTCTGGTAAACTAACATAACTATGGAAAATCACCATTTTCAATGGGAAAATCCACTATTTCTACGGCCATTTTCAATAGCTATGTTTGCCAGAGGGTAAATGTTCCAATAAATCAGTCGTTGCTTCATTCTCAACCAGGGGTCATTGCCCCGACCTCGCCAGTCCCAGCCCATTCCCAGCCTCTTCGGCTGGTGGCATAGGTGCCTCGCCCGGTGAAGGCAAATTTCGGGATAGAAAAAGATCAGCAAAACCACTTTGAGAAGGATATAATCCTGGATATATATATATATATGTGTGTGTGTGCGTTTATGATGGTTTATGTATGTATATATATATATACATAGAGAGGGAGAAAGACAGAGAGATAGGTCCAATCCACAATGCATTTTCTTTTCCACAAGATGTCACGTGTCCCTCCGTTTCTGGAAGGTTGAAACCTATTCTTCGCATGTCACAGCCTTGTTTAGCCGAAACTTGCAAGCCCCCTTCACCAAATCTGTTGTTGGCGATCAAAAATGAAAATGCAGGCTGGGCGTGACAGGAGTGTATTGGACACCACCCAGACTGCCCCCTGATTCTTCGAATGTGTTGAAAAGAAGCGCCTGGCCACAGGAATGCCACGAGCGTGCGCCTAAAAACACACGAACGTTGAAATAAGTCGCAGGCGTGGGCCCCAGCAACAAGCTTTCAAGTAAATATATATATATATAATATAATATAATTATATATGTGTATTGCATTTCTGCCCTGAGCATGTTGACTTACCAGTCATCATCGTCTTCGCCATAGTCATCATAGTCATCGCCACAATCCCAGCCATCGCCAGAGTCATCGCTGTGGACATAGCCACCATCACCACTGTTCTCAGCCCACGTGTACTCGGTAACTGCACCATCTGGCGCTGTGTACACTGCCTGACCACTTCCATCGCACTCATAAGTAGAGCCATCCAAATTCTCATAGCGATATGACCCATCTCCAAAAGCCTCATAGTAGTTGCCAGCACGGTTGTGGCCACTATGGTGTGGCTCATCATCACTGTCAATCAAACTGTGGCTCAATGTGCTTTGGCTCGGATATGGAGGACGAAGGACACCAGCATAGCTGCCCCTGGCTGGTTCAGGCTGTCTGGTCTGAGTGCTATCAGGATACATGGCCTTGCGGATTGCTTCAGGATCAAAAGGAAAAGCCTTGGAGACCGTGTGCTCTCCCCTTCTTCCTATCTTGGTGTTGTACTTGCTGAGATCAATGCCATGTGGGTGGACCAGAATCCCATCGGGACGTCCTCCACGACCTCTATTGTTTCCATGGCCCTTACACTCTTTTACCTCTTTGCGAGGCACCTCACATCTGATGTAGTTCTTCATTTTGCCATGCTCTATGGCACGCTTCCAGCCATTATCCCAGTTGTTTTGGGCGACGGTCTTTGTGCGGCTGGATGGTGGATACTTTGTGCCATAGGCACCTGGGCCCTCAATGGCATCTCCTCGGGAAGGATCTGAGATCTGAATCTTGCCATCCTTCAGGATCCCTTTCAATCCTTCATCACTGGTGTAGTGATAGAATGGGACCACATCTCTTGGCATCTCTGGGCGTTTTCGCTTCAAAAAAGCCAAGCCGCCCTAAGCCTTTCAGCACTGAAGAGCCAAACGCTTGAGCCAACACACGCGACATTTTCCGGGCAAAATGATGAAAGCGGCTGCTTCCATATCTTCCATGGCAGAATATCCTGGGGCCCAATGGGGCCCAAATGTTTGGACATTTCCAACCTGGCACCAGAACTCACCGAGGTTAAGGGTGGCACCTCGTTCGCCTCGGCTGTGGCTGCAATGAGGTCTTTCCAACTTCTCCTGGGCCCGAATGGGGATATTCCACCCTGGTGTCATGGCAGTTGAATGGGAAAATCATGGAACTAGATGGGGAATGTTCCAGTTAGCCATTTAGGATTGCCAAAATAAATAGATCCAGTATGATCCAGTTCACATTCCACCAGGGTTTCGATTCATGTTTCATGTGAGAAGAGATTCTTATTGGGTCTCCAAAAATCTTTGACTGGGGCATCAATGCATGATATGTGGGTATGGGTAAAAACCATTAAAAACCTTGGTAGCCAAAAAAGTAGCTGCTATGACGAGGTTGTTCATCCCCAATTCCAGTGGTCACATATATTGTTCCCCCCCATAGATTGCCATTGATAGGGATCAATCCCAGATATCCCAGCCTCAGCCGTTTGGCCACCTTCCGGACATCTGCGTCATCATGATCCTCGGCTCGCTATGGCTCGCTGCCCATGCTGCCCTTGCTGTGGACGGTGGGATGGTGATTCCCCTGATGGAATCGGATGGGCAATTCCCATCCGTGCAGCTGATAGTCCTTGAAGGGTTGCGAGATCACACCGAGTTGTGTCTGCCTGGCCATAGCTGGATCAAAGTCTCCGGATCGAAAAATCTGCCTCTGATTCACCAAAATAACAACAAAAACTGATCCCCAGATCGTCAACCAGCAGTTTTGAACAAATACCATGAAAAAAGCCTGGTTTACCCGCCAAACATCAGCACTTCAACTAGTGAAAAACCCACCAAAACCCTGGTTTTCCGCGAAAAACATCAGTTCAACTAGTGAAAACCCCAACTTTCCCCATCAAAAAACACATGTTTGTCCGACCTCAACAGCTCCACGGTGACCGGGATCCGCTCCAACTCCTCCAGAATCTCCACGATGCGCCGCGGCTCGTCGCCCTGCTGCAGCTGCAGCTGCTCGGCCAGGGAGAAGAGGCTGCTGGAGCGCGGCGAGGAGGGCACCTGTCACGAGAAGTTGAGATATCAATAAAATTCAATGGCAATCAATGGATTAAATTCTACGGCTATTATTTTATATTATTTTATATTATGTATGTGGTATATATATATATATACACCACATACAGTGTGTATGTGTGTATATACGTATGTATATATACAACATTATATATATATATAACCATCAAATAGTGGAACTGGGGTGTTCTTGTTTTTCTTAATGGGGATTCGAACCAGAAATTGGGAATTTAGTTACAAACTATTTTCTTTGATGCCTTTTGTGGTTGGGGGTTGGGGGAATTGATTTGTTTGGTTTAGAAGATCGGAAGTTGAAACCATTGGTAGACTGGCTGTCAAATTTACGGTGGTAAACCCTTGAAAAAGGTTCAACCAATTCAGGGTGGTTAAGGGTTGGTTAGTTTTTGTGACCTTGGGTTGGGAGGACATTTGATATGAGCCATGGTCAATACTCACTATATGGTTGATGGTCATCCCATCCATAATAAGGATCCTTATAATGGTTATTATAAATCCCTATGAACCATTGGATGACTAGCCCCTATTAATGGTTATTAATCATGAGTATTGACCATAGCTCATATGATCTTAGATGCTGTTGAAATGTGACATTTTTCCGCGTCCAAAGTGAGTCACCAGCTGCATCGGATCCGACAAAAAATGACCTAACTTGAAATCAGTTCATATGGGATGCAGTTGGAGATCAAACATCTACCCTCTGGTAATTTAACATAACTATGGAAAATCACCATTTTCAATGGGAAAATCCACTATAAATGGTCATTTTCAATAGCTATGTTAAATTACCAGAGGGTAGATAATGCAGGGAGAAGAAAGAATGCTGCACATCTTGCGCCTCTGGTACTTCTGCCGGCGCTTCCTGACAAATCCAATCAGGATAGTCATGTTTTGCTTTGGATCAAAGTTGGTCACTGTGATTTCATGCTGTCCCAAACCTTCGGGTAGTTGGTAGATGTTGGTAGACTTCATAGTCAGAGAATATCATAGAATCAACGTTAGGAACAGCTATGGATTGCCCTCCCGTAAACATACAAAAAGAATCAAAAAGATGTGGAAAGCCGACCATTTATAGATCATTTTGCCAGGCTTTCCCAATGGGTTTTCCACATCTGTTTCTATGTTTACCCTGGGGTACCTCACCACCTCCCTGAGGCAGCCTCAGTGGGACCTTCTGCGGACGTCGCCTGACTCATGGAGGAAATGATGGTGAACATCTGGGAGTACCTGTACCTTATGGTCATTGAAGGGGGAACTGATGGCCAAGCATCAAATTTGGAGGGACCTGATCGGCCGTATTTCAAGACAACGTGATTTGGCTCTGATTTATGGTGAGACTTTGGCACACTCTCTTTTGCAAGGATCATGCGCACATACCACTGGAATTTGATCCATCAAGGTCGTGCAACCATGGCCTCCACCGAAGGTTCAGCAGGCTCAGCATGTTCAGGCCTCAACTCTGGGTCTCCATGTTATACAAAGTGTCGAGGCAGTATGAAGTGAAATATGTGAAATGTGTTCGAGCTGCATTTGATTTCGCAAAATCCAGAAATGTTCGAGCTGCAAAAATCCCAGACCGAGTCAGAAACACTGGGGTTGGTGATGCTTCAGCACTGACAGCTTCTTCCATTGGTGAGGCTGCGTCTGCCGCTTCAACAGGTTCCGCCTTTGGGAATGGCTGAGATTCAAGGCCCATGACTAAGGCAAGGTAAATTTCCGCCTTGCCTCCGGTTGCGGCAATGTGCTTTCATCCTCCTGCAACATGGAAATCACTTCTGGCCAACGGCTGGAACGAGACCAATAAGAAACCCTGCGGAGTATTCGAAACCCCTGCTGAACACCAGGTGAGTTGATAGCTGACAGCACCTTTCAGAACTTTCCCGTTGGAGTCCTTCCTCAAACTGCCCACTCAAATAATATGGGCCTCTGATAATATGTATATATATACACATATATTATAGATTAAATATACTATGTTATGATATTTATATATATATTATATTATATTATATTATATTATATTACATTACATTACATTACATTATATTATATTATATTATATTATGTTATGTTATATTATGTTATATCATATCATATTATCTTATCTTATATGATATTATATTATATTATATCATATTATATTATATAATGTCATATATCATATTATATTTTATTACATTACATCATATCATATAATATCATATCATATAATATCATATCATATCATATTATATTATAGTATATTATATTTTATTTTATTTTATATTAATATATTATATTATATTTTATTATATATTAATATATTATATTATATAGTATATATTATATATATTATATAGTATATCATATATTATATATAATATATAATATATTATATATTGTATGTTATATATTATATATTATAATTATATATCATATATTATATATTATATATTATATATTATATATTATATATTATATATGATATGTAATATATCATATATTTAATATATCATATATTGTATATCATATATATAATATATAATATATTATATTATATATATATATTATATATGTGTATAATATATATTATACCTTCACTATCCTCCAATTTCAATTCCAATGGATTAGAACATCATTTTCCTCTTTAGTTGATGGCCACAGACCGGGATGATATAGGCCATTTTCAGACACAGAATCCGTATTTCAGTTGTTTAAATCCCTAATTGTTCATGGTGAAATCACCAGTATTCATTACTTTGGCTGGTCAAACGCTCAATGCATTTTTTTTGGCTGTGATCAGCACTCCTCCAGCTGAGGCTGATCAACAGTTTCCGCTAGCGCTTCAGCTTCTGGGGCCTGGAGGAGTCAGTAGATAAATACTTAAGACGGTTGAGAGTAAGGTAGTGATGCCAAGACACTGTCATGTAAATCTGCATACGGTGTGCATGCTTATACATATATGTGTATATGTAGTTTGCAAACACGTATGTCTTTATCAATCGTATCCATACATCATATACCCCTCCTGAAGTAGATGGCAGGCAAGCTTGGATCATGCGAAAAATCCCAGGATGATCCACGGACCCAAGGGTAGAATTAGATGAACAGCAAAAACCATCCGCAATAGCACAAGAGTGAACATATGCATACATACGTATCGTCCTTATTACTATTGTTGTTATTGCCATTATTACTATATATTAGTATCATTATCATTATCATCATGATTCATGATATTATTGTTGTTTTCCCCAGGATTCCTCAGCAAATCGATCATTCGGGCCTCTGGAAGCAAAGTTTTTTCGGCCTCTTTGGACGAAACTGCGGCCCTGAGCCAAGGACGTGAGGATGAACTCTCCGGTACTCGAAGATGGCTGGAAAATGGACCGTTTCGATGATTTGTCTATTGAAACCTTCAATGGATTGGTTTAAGGGAAAATCTACAGGAAACCATGGTTTTTACCATCAAATACAGGGGTTTCCTGTGAATTTTCCCATCATCCAATTCCATGAAACCTCCATTGGCTCGATTTTCCCAATGTTTGATGACACCGGATCATGATTTATGGCAACCAAAGGTCGATGGAAAACTTGGAAACCTGGAAACTATGGAGGAAACGTTATCGAAGTAACATCCTGGTGGCACACTTGGCATCTTTTTGGGGGAGTCCAGAAATCACTACCAATCATCTGCAAGCATGTCGGGGGCATGAACCAGCAACTATGGAAAAATATATATATATAGAATGAACTCCAGGATGACCCCCAGGAAAATGGCCATGAACTACATAATGGGAAAAATATGTTGGGGAAAAAATATCGGAATGGGTATCCTGTGTTCAGACAAACTCAATAAATGTTGAATTCTTGTTCTCACAATATGGTGTTCATATGTAATTATGTATATTATACTATATATATATACAGAATACTGTGATTGTCAATTATCAAGAAGCATGACGGAATATCATCCCATTGAATGTTATGCTGGACTGATCCAACATTGGAAGTGGTTCGCATTTGGGGCCATATTGGCCACATCATCTCTAGATCTTACCGTGTCTCAAAGTGAAGCTACAGCTGGGGCCAACAACTCTGGACTTGGCGCTGCTTCGGCAGCTTCGGCAGCTTCGGCGGCAGCTTCGGCTGCTGCGGCTGCTGCGGCTACGGCTGCATCTGCTTCACCGGAGTCTGCCTCTGCCAGCAGCAAAGTCAAGGTGAGAATCAAACTAAGGTCTCAGAACTGGCCGGAAATGTGTTGAAAAGAACTCAAATCCTCAAATCAATCAATGCGGACGCCAAAAGCTTTGCATGTGATTTCCTATCCATAAATGGTTCCCCTTAAAATCGAGAAAAATAGCAGCTTTGGTGGCTTACAGGCTTGTGCATGGTTTCTGACTAGGGCCGTCAAGGCAACAATGAATTCAGCTTGCCTCGGGGTGCAGCAATGTGCTTTCCTCCTGATCTTGTGGAGCTTGACTTGCTCCACAGTTGGATAAAGGGGGAATCTACGGAGAAAAAACAAGATTTTGTGGAAAGAAGTGTGGGTTCCTGATGTTCTGCCCCTAAGCCAGCCCAGTGAATGGCTCAGTGTGGCTCAAAAAACGGGGACGTTTTAGGGTGGCCAAATGATTGGCCCATGCTTAGTGTGAAACCATCCAATGTCAAATCATCAAGAATCTTTTGAGGGATCATCGGCTCCTCTTCTGGAGTCTCTTTTTCTCCAGCGTCAGGGTCACTTTCACCACTTTCCGCAGCCTCCTCCAAATGCACAAGCCATGGCGCCTCCTTTTGTCATCATGTTTATGGCTATGAGGTCAAAACCCTGGCACCCTGGTGTCGCACACAGTTGGTAGTTGTGAATGGTTTGACCAATCATACCATAAATACGTGAGTCATCGTGAGTCCATACGCCTATCCCGCCAGATCACCGCCGGCCGCTTGCTGCCTGTCGCGGGGTCTCTTTGCCCTCGACTTCCTGCCTGCCAGGATGATGCTAATGGGGGGAAGATTTCCACATAGGATGGAATGGGGTTTCAGACTTTAAAAAACAACTCCATATCTTGGACTGTTGGTTGAGGAAACGTGCCTGATATAGTATTTTTCTGGACTGACCCTTTGAAGCCCCAGCTGAAGCGAGCCTAAGATGTGGTGAAAAACTGAACATGTTCAACATCCGCTGGTGATTCATCCCCTAAAAATGGCCAGGTGCTCCCTAGTAAGACATGTGGTTTTTGTTGGGATTTGTTGGTCCAATGCTCAAGCGCTTCTGTCCAAAAATAGGGTACCCCCAATCCACCGGCGAATCCCCAATTTTGAGGCAAACCTTCAACACCCCCATTGTAGGGTCCCTTAAATATGGGGCCCCTACATCCCCTACATCCACCATGGTTGGAAGCTGTAAACATGTGTCAACCATCGAAAAGGCTTTATGGGATTCGTGGAACCCCCAAACATCAACTATCTCAAGCCCCCAAAAAAGATGTCAAAAAGTGTGCCACCGGGATGATGCTTCGATGATCTGTTCCCCTTAAGCAAACCTCCCCGTTGAGTCCCTGACTTCGGCGTGGGTGGTGCTTTGGGTGTCGCCGGGCCCATGGGCGGTTCCGGTGGTGCGAGGTCAGAGTGGGGGACCATCTCGGCCTGGGTCAAGAGTGACAGGGCACCTGGTTACCCTCTGGTAATTTAACATAGCTATTGAACATGACCATTTATAGTGGATTTACCCATGAAAAATGGTGATTTTCCATAGTTATGTTAGTTTACCAGAGGGTATAACATATATATATATATAAAATAATTATCGGAAAGTTAAAACCACTACACTGTAACATACTGTAACCATAATATCTTGTCAGCTTATTGGTCTGAAGTCGAAGAAAGAATGATTCAGAGAAGGATTCACAGGATTGTTGCCTTCCAAGACTGTGGATTCGATGCCAAATCTTGGTACTCCTACCGGTCCGTCTGTTTTTTCAGGTCTTATAAAGGTCATTGCATGTTCCCTTCCATCCTTCATCATCCTTCAATTCATTGTGCTACTCTAATAAACGTCAAAGTGGCTATGTGTCAAAACCTGTACCCCTGGTTTTCACACCAAAATACAGTAGCTGCTATAACTGGATGTTCATCCCCTAAAATATGCTGGTTTTTTTTTAATGGTATATAGCTGTAGTTCCATCCCCACAAAGGTTAAATAGTTGTTCTTGGGTACCCAGTGATTGCAGGTTACAAGATCATTCTTGTAGGAGTGTAGGTTTGGATCCCCTTTGGTAGCTGGACCCAGCCCTTAAGATGCAGACTCCTCCAGCCGCATGGCGCAAGGGGTCCACATACCTTCGGAACTCACCGACTTTGGGGCATAGCCGGTATGGACCCCGCGCCGCACCCGGGATCATTGGTGAAGAATCAGGAACTGTTGGGTTAAGGAGTTGGGATAAAGTTTTTTTTTTGCGCACCGAAACTCATAAGTAATTTCCAATATTCCCTTTATGATACTCTCCATCAATCATGAGCAACTACTAACCAAGACATGGAGTGCAGGAGAATTTTGAAACCACAGGAATTTCGTGCATGGCAGTACTGTTTGGATCTCCAGAATAGACTTTATGATCACCTGCTGCCATAATATCGCCACCAACCAGCCGATCAATGGTTGCTCTCATGGCGATCCAAGCTGGCAATTATCCTAAGATCCCCAATTTGCAGATGATGTTCCACTATCATAAAATCTAGTTCATCATTTCATCATTGAACGTTGGGATTCTTCCAGATGCTGTTCCAATGGTTTATCATTTGGGGATGAGACAAAAACCTAAGGGCCTAAGTAGGGGATGAACATTCATAAAAACCAGCTACTTTCCTGTCAAACTACCAAGGTTCTGATCTCATCAGCATCCCCCATCAGCTGAAGTCCCCGGCTTGGGCGTGGCTTGAGCCGCATCCCACAGCCCGGGCTGCCCGGGCGCCGGCTGCGAAGCTGTAGGCGGCTCGGGTCCTGCGGAATCAGGTGTCTACGTTGCGACACAACCAGCATGCGGATGGTGATGGTGATGTCGTGGTCGCCCTGGCCATCATAATCAAATGTC